AATCGGTTGATTCAGCTGCGGTCACGCCCTTTGGCAGAACGTTCGACAAGGTGCTCACACTGTGAGAGAAGAAATTAGATATCGCTTTCGTCTCCTCCGTACGATGGCTTATGGGAGTGGAGCCCCGGTGAGACTGTCAGTTTTGGACTGATAATGGCTTCCTATTGGGTGATCTGCACGGTGAATGATCTTGGAGGTCTTCATCAGGTAGCCTATTTTCTTCGAAGGCTTGAGGTGAATAAGGTGAGTCGCCTCAGATGCTGCTCATATGTTCTGATTGCCGGTGTTTTGCCTTAGTAGGGGAGGGACCAGCACACTGAACACTCCCGAAAGTGGTCTAAAACAATCCTTGAAAACGATAAGGAATAGTTTGACAGTTAGGGCCTCGCTTGCCATCTTAGGAATTGCTTACTGGCGTTCACGTTTCAACTATTCCCTTGCTGCTGTCAGTAGTTTGAAGCTTGCGAGCGGAGTCTGACCTCAGATCTCTCTCCGCTGATACTCTAGCGATTGAAAATTTGTTGAAGTTAGCTTTCATTGCTACACACGCACACAAAACCTTGCACAACCCCAAGTCAAAGCTCAAAACATTCTCGGCCGCCCAGGAATCTAACTGCAACATGTCTTTCTGAAGTATCCCAGGATCCTGCTCCCCACCCACTTCCCTCCATATTTTGGTATCATTAGAAAATGGAGGGATAATGGGGGAAGTTATCTGAGGGCAGTAAAGATACGGGGGACCCAGAGATTACCGCCCAAGAAGCTTCTGTCTTCGTTATCTTCCAGGTTGACCCAATTTTGTTCGCTGCAGTTCAGAAATCTCTGTCTTCTAGATGCGTCGTGCACCATGCAGTGACTGCTTCAGTGCAATTCAAAGTCAGAATCTTGGTGAGCATGGAGTAGTGTGGGACGAAAACAGAAGCGTTGGCCAAGTCCAGAAAGGTAACATGGGTTGATTGCCTGCTGTCCAGTCTGTTGGTTCAGTCATCCCAAACGGTCGTCGTGCTTTTGACATATGACCGCTCAGTTCCCCACTGGACTTCTGTGTTTTGGTTCTTATGGGCTTCCTGATACTGGTAGAATGGTTTTGTCAATCATTTTGTCTGCAGGTATCAGTTCATTAGATAGTTTTTTGTTACTGGCACTTTCTGTGGTGTTCTTGGAGGTTGCGCGCCATCCTCCAGTTCACCGGACAATGGTTTATTTTCACAGCAGTATGTAGCTCCTCCTGTTTGATCTTTCATGCGGTGCCATGCTGTAAGGGCCTATATGAGTGAATCCTTGGAGGTGAAGTGCACGGCTAACAACCTCGAGGAAGGGATCCTTTGGAGGCGGAAGGATTTTGGTAATCTACTTACGCTGCCGAAGGGCGAGTTTTTAAGTACGACTAGCGGATGCAATTGAACGTCTGAAACTACCTGGGAGCCAGAAATTTGATCGAACACCTTGCTTGGCAAAACTAAGTAAAAAAACGCTCATGCAGCTTTCGAGTCTTCAGGCCCTGCCAAAGCCCCTCCGATCTCCGATGGGAAAATGTTTTGGATCCTATTCTTAGCACGCGTAAGACCTCGTTTGGGTACGGGATTAAGGTAGTGAGTTTATGTTCCAAATATGGAGCTAGCATGGTATAGCAGGTCCAGAGGCCACGAAAAAAGATGGCTGAGGGCCTACTCAACCTCTCATGTAAAGAAAGACTGAGCCAGTTTGATACTTTTTACTTTCTCACGTGAGGATGGAGGGAGATCTAATTTTGACATTTTCTATCTCGACATATCTTCTTGGAGGACATCCTCTGCCAGTTCATGGACCATCACCTTGTCTGTGTACCATCATCAAGCGCCGCACTGAATAGTAAATGCAATTAGTGTATGATTCGTCTGTCCCAAAAGGCTACTCACAAATTAGACCCAGGAACAGGAAGTATGATTGGATACTAATTCTACTCCCCAGCGAAAAATTTAGATGTCTTGGTGGAATCAGACGTAGGAAAAGCCGAGCACCTACAGATTTACCGCATTAAGGCCCTTTGGGTGGACAGCAACTCAAAGATGTTAGGTAAACCCACGACTGGTGTCCCATAATTGACTTCTATATTGGTGGATAGCGAAGTGATGCCTAGATCGCCAGGAATCCTCGAGTGAAGTTTTGGAGAAAATAATCGGGGGACAGTTACTGGATCCTGTGAAAAGACCCTATCTAGCACTATGGGGGGGACGTAGTTTCCGACAAGGATGCTCCTGGCCAATTAACTTGAGCTAACCAGGTAAGAATGGGTAGAAGCAAAAGACGATTGACTGCTTATTGGCTTGGTGTCTACCAACTTTACTAAGGCATTCGACAAGGTGTTCTACTTGGGTTTGCTAAGAAAGCTCATGGGTTTTGGTAGTGGCGTCAACATGTGGCAGTAGCTGAGAGACTGCCTGTGTGTCAGGAGGCAAGTCGTCAGGGCGAAGAGAGTATCGTATGACTGGGGGCCGGCTACCATTGAGGTTTCCCGGGGCATTGCAACAGAGCCATTTTCGCTCGTACACTCTGGTGATGAATTGTCATGGGTGCTCTGACCACCATCCTTGCTGCTTGCAGCCCTCATTAGGGCCCTATGGGTTATTCTTAATGGCGATGACAAGACAACACTATGGACTAAATTAGATGAATTGAGTGAGTAGTTCAAACACCAGGCATCGGAAATCAACTGTAGCAAAAGTCTAGTGGTGCACATCTGTCAATCATCGTATTATCTTCACTCATTAGATGGATCACCATTACCTGGAAATAAGAAAAAAAGGATCTTAGGGTTGTCGTTAGCGACATCTTGAAAACGATTGGATACTGTGACATGGTTGCAGTCAAGGCATTCTTCACGCAATAGTCACTTCACAGGATCTACAAGTGCATGTCTAAAGACATATATAGAATACTACATTGCGCTTGTGCAAGACCTCATCTAGGACACTGCATGCAGTCCTTGGTTTAAGTGAGAAAAGAAGACTGAAAATAGCACGGGGTGCGGGTAATAAGTCAGCAACTTGGCTTTCGCACCGTCTCCGAGAAAAGCGGTTTGTTAGTCTGAATCTATTCTTACCATCGTATCGTAAGAGAAGGGGAGATCCCAGAGTTTCGTACAGTCTTCGATGGGACAGCGCCCCGGTATTCAGGAAAGACTCCAATCCCTTTTGAGAAAAGGCGTAGATCTTCAATAAAATCGGTTGTTGGACTAACGAGAAAGACATGCCGTGACAGACTGAAGCACCTGGACCTAGTCACCTCGAAATATCACAGAAAGTGGGGTGACCTTACTCCAGTCCAAAAATGCACCCATCAAGCAAGTCACACAGATAATTAATATCATCCATGACATGGCGGCTATAAAATAGAAATCCCACCAGGATAGCTTACTAGAGATCTAACAACAAGCTCAGGCTAAACGTTTTCTCCCTAAGAGTATACGCTTTGTGGAATGGTTTACCACAGACGTACTCATGGCATTACTGGCCTCACTAGCTCATCACTACCTCCTTCTTATCTACCACACTATCTTTCTCTTTTTGATACACCTGCGTTGTTCGTCATCTTATATTTAGTAGCTAGACAGGCAAAATCTACTTTAACCTATTGGGAAAGTTAGACGTATATTTTCCAAATATCTTTCTGTTCTTCGTCGGACACCTTTACAGATGGAAGTTGCGAGGGGTCTCCAGTTTTCTCAACAACCTGTAGCCCCTGACCGACTCAACCTACAAGTACCATTCTTCAACCCGCTAAATATTCATCACACTGGAGACGAGGCCAGGAAACCAAAAGAGATTTACCTTCCCGTCGCAGGAGCAGACCGAACAACAAAGACCAAGCTCTGAAAACCGGACGTGTGGGGCAAAAGACAAACGGTTTGCCACACTCGCGATATTAATACTGGAAGATGTTGGATACCGAGTACCGATTCCTGCGTTGATCAAGGCATTCACTTCACGCCTTCCAAGACTGGTTTTGTGGGTGACCGTCATAAGAGGGCTAGAAAGCCATGGTTTACATAAACTATGAGTGAAACTCAGATTCTCTCTCAAGGCAGTCAGTGACTGGAATCAGTTACCAGAACTTGTGGTAGCCACTCATTCGTTGGACGCTTTCAAGGATAAACTGGATTTTCACAGAGTTATAAATTGCAAGAAATAGTAGAAGCTGCCTGGAATACTGTACACACACGTGAAGGATGTTTAGAGTCGCTCAAACATGGAACAAGATCGCTTAGTTGCTCTTCAGCTGTGTCCAATGCGATACCGGAGGATCAGAGGGGACATGACCATGATGTCTCACTCTTCATATAAGCCCATTCATCTTAGCGGATTTCTTTTAAGATTCGGTCAGAAACGCCACCTTAGAGGTCGCCCGTCATGGGTAGAGCATGAGAGAGGGCGTACAAGTATCCCTGACAACTCATTTGAAGTCAGAGTTTGTGGACTATGAAACTCCTTTTCTTCAGGAGTTGTTATGGACACATCCCTGATACTTTCGAAAGAAGGTTAGATGTAAGTTTAGAGTCTTAGGGCACCAGTGCGCTGTACTCGAGAAGCTTTCTGACATCTACAGATCAGGAGCACACCAAATTAATTAATAAGCGATTATCTCTGTCCTTACCAGTTTTTCGTAGCCGGGAAGACAACTGTGGCCATTGCAAAGCTAGAAGTTACTCCAATAAGATAGAAATAGAACTCAAAGAACCGTGGTTCCCTAATTCTACAACATGAAGTTTGCAGTTTTAATTGTCTCCATCCTTTCAGGTTAGTCAAAGTTAAGACAAAATGTGAACTATCCAAACATAAAATTATCGCTTGAAGGTAGTGGCGGAAGCCAGACAGTGCCCCATTATTTCTGTAACACGAATTTTGTGTTTTTTATCGAAAACCGCAAGGTTGAAAGTGATAACCTTAGTTCACAGCGCAGTGTATAAACTATTTCGTCACTTCAGTATGTTGATTTGCGCATGATGAACGACAGCAAAGAAGATGAATTCTGGTAAAAGGAAGTTCGTACAGCATATTATTCCAAATCCTCAGCCTTTCAAGTCTAGAGATAATTCCTCATTTGGTGACAATGGGTTGCCAGAACAAGTTGTTTTTCCATTTGCACTTAATTGTTCTATTTCAGTGGTGCTCATCTATTGCTTTACCAATCGATTACGAAGAATATATCACGAAAAATAAAGCTCTTATAGTCAATGATCCTTACCGTGAAACTATACTTTTCCCACAAGAAGATATCAAAGTAAGTCCCTAAAGAATTGCTTATACAAAAGTAATCCTTACCGACGGGTTTGCTATCAAGTTAAGGTTGTGTTTCTTTCCTTACTAACTGCATTTAATAGTGACTTGAGAGTTTCCCTTCAATATTCATATCTTTATCGTACAATATATGTGCAACATATCGTGGAGAAGCTTTGTGATTCATTTGTGAGTTTATTAAAGAGCTTATGAAATCTCCGCATTATATACGCATACCTATTGCACATTAGCGTTGTGTGCAGAAGATCGTCCTTATAATTCCTTTTTGGATCGTACGTGAATATCATATTCCTTTTTACCTCTTACTAATAAACGTCGGTCAATATCAGTGTGGAGCTTTTCATTCCTATGTAACAGATCAAGTTGTCGCACCTCCCATTAATACACCAAAGAACAAGATAAAATGTAGTTGGATAGGAGGCGATGTAATAAAAGTCGTTGAGAGTTCGCAGGAAGGAGGAAGATGGTGTTTGTGTGTGTTTGTGGAGGGGGGTGGGGGTGTCAGGGTGATCAGCCATTAAGCGAAATATTATATCGCGGTTGGAAAGATGATAAAATATGGATGCATTTGATTCACTATGCTTGATCCAAAGTCATACCACCTAAAGCCTGCAACCATTGATTTCTGTTATGACGCTCACCGCGCAAGGAAGTCTACATTTCCCCACACTACTCAACCGATTAAAGATTCCATAGACTGACGCCACTGTTCAGTCTCGCTGTCTTTAACCTTTTTCCAGTCTAAACTTACTTTTACTAGTGATTCATAGATAGGTGATAATTATACATATTAATGTCTTAGTCATGTGAATCATTAACTGACCTCTCGCCTAAAACGATTCCTCTCTTCTACTATACTAACGTGTTCTTTATGAAGGCGATGCAGACTAGCCGGCTACTGTCTGCAGGAAAAAAGGAACCAGTGGTTGTAGACTCTAGGTGATACGGCTCAGAATCGAAGTCAGTGGCGCAGATGTATACACACATTATCCTCATCTTAACGCTACACCGAATCTCACCATTTTTTTCATTCTTCCTTTCTCTCTTTTAGTACTTAATATTTCTTTTGACTGACTTTTCTTTTCATCATCCACTTCACTGCCTTTTTACTTGATGCGCTGATATGAGGTGTGGCAACTTGAACCGCTACGCAGTAATGCATGGTACTATGTTGATGATGTTCCCAGTGAAAGAAGTAATATTTTTTAGTCTTTGTAGTTATAATTTAGTAGTACCTATACTACTAAGGTAATCAAAAGTTTTATTTTGTTAAAACGAAGTACTTCGTGTTTAATCTTTGGCAGCTATATGCACTGCACTAAGCCAGTGAGTTTCGTGAGTTAAAAAGGTAATCCAAACGCAAAACCATTCTACTAATCGAGAAACATTTCCATATATCAAGTTGAGGCAAACAACACTATGAAGGCTGTCTTATGTAGCAACAGAATTGTTACTTTTGCGTATTCTCACCAACTAATCACTGAGCTAACAATGCTGTTATATCTCAGGCAACTACTGCAGTAGACAGTGTTTCAGCGAAGGTAAGCTCCACTATTAAACAATCCAGATCAGAGAACACAATACAACCAAAAAAGTAAAAAACATCATATACGACCCATACCTTAAAGTGTTCAGGCTGCAGTGCTTGATGTCTAAAGCGGACTTCTAGAATGAAAAGTAGTAAATCGTTAAGCCCATAAACTTTGGGCTGTTTTGTAGGGAAATGAAATCAGTTTAAATGACCAGTGTGTTGTTAATTTAACTGATAATCTGCTGTGATCCTCAGCTACTGAGTTGGATTACAAGTGACCCCATCCACGGAATTGTAAGGTTCAAACTGATTCTAACGTAATAAAAGTATCCTTCATTCCTCTTTACCTGGTTATGCATTGACTGACTCTTTGGTATTCCCAACCAAACAGGTTTCGTGAACGATGTGAAAGCCTCTGGAATGACATTCAAAACACATGTCCAAGCTGTTGATGTCGGTGTTGCAAGATGACTGATTGCTTAGTTAACAACTACCTCCATCATCCCCAAATACGTGCTACCTCGTCTCAGAATTGCTTACATGGTGTTTCCACCAGATACTAGCAATCCCACAGAAACAATAGTGATTAAACCTACAGAGTATTTGAAAATGCTCATCTTAGAGTCCGGGTTGTGCAGACGTGAGGGGATTTGTATGTACCACCGCGTGGTATACTCCATATCTTACAGCGAGGTTAACGTCATAAAAGCACCGGTGACCCAAATTGGTGGATGTCACTCTAGATTCCAGTATACGCTTAGTGATCACATCAGTCAAACTCTAAATAGCATCACACAATTATCCATTTACAAAATCTTCTCGAAAACTTGCAGCAGTTCAGTGTAAGCACTCGTATCAATCTTGTGGAAGCACTTTGCACTTCGGTTGTGCAAATGTTGATCTCCAACTGGTTAAGTGTGATTTTAGTAGTCTGTCTTCAAGATTGAAAGGTTTCTCCTACTACAGATCCGCACCATCACCTCCGTACTTACTTTAGAGCTGTCTCAATGTCATCAGTGGCAAAGTTAAAGAGGAACAGCAAAGTTGGACAAACCTGCGTAACCCCGTTTTTGGTTTTGGACAATCAAATAAAGTACCTATTACGTCGCACTTTACATGTTCACAATGTTTGTGACCTGGTACGTTTCGAGTGACTTATGGGAACATCTCAGCACAGCAGATTCATTTGATGTATGCTAACATTTAATTTTACAATGCTTGTGCTCGAGTTGGACTGAAATAAACTGAAGTTTACAAAAAGCAACTTATCTTCCTAAAACTAAGTGAACAGCATCACAGCTTCACACCTATTAATAAAAAATTATTGGCCACCCACTGACTGATCATTTGATATTTAGATACAAGAAAATAGTTATTTCATCATTCTCACATCGTTTTGCGCAGCTGAATTTCTTACTTGATTCATATTCTGAAATCTTGATTGCGTTGGAATGTATGCATGCAGTGATTTGTTAGGAGTTCGTTTTTTCGATATTCATCTAATAAGGCTTGAAATCACCATTCGATCACAATCGGTCAGCTATATCAAGTCCACTCTAGCCATATAGTCTAAGAGTAATTTTTATCCACACGTATTTGTGACAAAAATCTTTGGATTAAAGCATTATCACATTGGCCTATTTTACTGTTGTTGTTTTCATGCCCTTTACGTAATACACTTGCTTTGTTTAGCTTTTATTGGGGAAATAGTTTTGTTTTTCTCGACATAGTAACATGATTCTTATGTGTTTCAGCTAATCCGAATTCCTCATTGTCATCAGACGCTAAATAATGGTGTTCCTCAAGTTGCACTTAGAAACAGCGTATTTATCTCGAATCCATTAGCTCGCCATGCAGTCACATTTTTCTCAACAGCAGAATGGAGCTATATTCAACAGTTATCTTCCAATTATCGTGGGAGTTTTCACCTACTTCCGTTCATGAAGTAAGAATTGTATATTATTGTGTTTTCCATTTCTCTAGTAAATAATATTGCAACTCGTCTCTTCATTCACACCACGTTTCGTTGATACTTCGTACAACACTAAGCAATAGTTTGTACGACTCCATGTAGTCATGTTTTTGTTTTTTAATTCTACTTTTTGATATTCAGATCACACTAACGACGATCTTCACAACGTTGATAAAACGGCTTACGTAATAAATGAGTTATTTAACGTCTGATTGAGTTTCTGATTGTCAAAACATCTTTTAACTACCTAAGCGCTTACTCATTCTTGTCACCAATTGCAACTGAAAAGAACTGTTGGTTAATGGCTCATCTATATAAATGCATGGCTTCTAAGTAGAAGGCGAATGTTCCAAGTAATATCAAAATTTCACTCAAAACAATAGTATAAATATTCACTGATGCGGTTCTATTCAGAAGAGACGTAAGTTATTAGTGTTTCAGAAATTAAGAAAGAAAAATCATTAGTAAATGCAATTGAGACAACATGGATTAGTATTTCTTCAGACTATTTAACTTTATCCAGTACAAATATCTGTCTAGAAATGTCATAGGCTATTTATGTGACTTATCGGTCGATTGGCGATACATTGTTGAAGTAATTTCACTATTTAAGGATACCTTAGAAGCACGTTATTCAACAGTTACGTTGGTAGTTTTACTGGAATTTATATCTCGATCTCTGCATGCGGAAATGGACTTTCATTTTCTACAATATGTCACTAAAAGCCACTAAGAATTGATGTTTATTGCAATCATGCTGTCCACCTTATCATAAGATTGAAGATTAACTTAATGTATGCAGCCTTGCTTCGTAGACACTGGTAGTATCATAGCCGAAGAAATAAGACGATAAAATGGTAAAACTTGTCACAAAACCTGAGATAGTATGGTTATGTGGAACAGTCGTTTGTTGATACCACCAGTGTATGCGCAAAAGGTAAGCATTCCAACTGATGGCTATTCTTCTGAAAAATCACGTGGTACGGAGTTTTATGTGAAGCTAACATTTGCGGTCTCTGGCTGTTTTTGTCAAGTTTAACTTTTGTGATAGCATGTGAGGTCACATATTTCTTTGAAGGGATGATCATGTGTACCATTTTGGTTTATTTGTGAAATGTATCACATAATGAAACAGTATTATTTACTGTATTACGCTTCGGACACAATTCATTGTCCATATTCATATCAAGATAACTTCGAAACCTTGACACGATTTATGTAGTTCTGATAATCTCTCCTTTGTGATATGGGTAGTAGAAATCTTCGTATATCTGGAAAAGGTGCTGAATAACTCCCATTGTATGTATTTGGTGTTGATTCGATAAACTAATATTTGGTTGTCTATTTCTCTTTCCACTCAAGTTTTTAGTTCTGTTGCTTCTTCCTATCCTATTGTGTGGTGGTGTGTATTCGCATTCACAGCTACAGCAGAGCTGTTTCAGATTCCTTGTCCTACTAGGTTTGATCACTCTTAATTTAGCCAAGTATTTGTGCTGAGATAGCTTAGTTAACCTAGGTCGACTATCTTGAGCTATGTATCTGACCTCAAAATCACTGCAATGTATTTGGTGGACTAAATTGTTTTGTCTGATTTGATCAGTAAGATGTTTTAACCCACACAAGGTTTCTAAGTAAGTTTGTAGATTTGAATCCCACTGTAATCCAAACCTTATAGAGAATCTTTCGTGGTACTTCGGAGGTGCTTCAATTGTATGGTATCAGTAGGGGTTTTAACTTCTCTTTTCATAATGTGTCCGTTATTGTCATTATTATCACTATTATTATTAACACCTGTGTTACCACTACTCATATTTCCCACAAAATACACTTCTCAATAACATAGGTAGTTTAAAACCACTCACATTGATCTGTAACTTTTGCTAGACAGATCCACTCGCATTTTGCTCGTCTATTCCCGGGGTCACCAGCCGGACAAATTCAGCTCTGTGAGCTAAACTGTTCTATATTTTTCTAATAATTTTTTATGAGTATATTGATAAATTTGGGTGACTAATTACTAAAAATTAAGGCATTTCTAATGTGCTTAACTGATTGTCTCAGATTCGCTATCCTACTTGTAAACGCTGTGTCCTGTAACTTAGACATTTAACTAAGTCTACTTTAGGTGACACAGGATGAGATTAGTGTAAAAGTAAGACCTAATCGTTGTGGTAGTGTATGGTTTCATCTTAGTTTGTGTTTTGAATATTTCATACAGTGAAACAGTATTATTTACTGGATGATGTTTCAAAGAGAATTTATCCTTTATTCATACCTTTGATATAAATATGAACGATAGTATCTGTGCTAAACTTTATCTAGTAAACACTACTGTTTCACTTTTTGAAATATCCAACAGACAAACTAACATGAAATAGGTTGTGGTTATTTGGAGTCTACGTTGCGATTAAAATGGGAAGGTTTCCTATCGACACTGGTATCTAAACTTCCATCTTGTTTTCGTTTTATCCTGCAATCCAACATCGTCATCTCTCCATCATTTTCCAGTTCATAAAGAAATTGGATTACTTTCAGTACTGAATTTGTGTATAGAGAACTTGTCCATATGCTCCGATTTCAGTACTGTAGTTGTGTCATCTGCATATCTAAACCATACCTTTCGTTTAAGACTAAATGTTCGAAGGACTATCCGTTTTTGACTATCCGTAAATATGTCTACGAAGATAATGAATATTGGTGACCTAATGATTACTCCTTCTGTCTGTTTATATTCTATTATCAAACTTAAAGACTATAGACATCAGTTCAGTTTTGAGTACCTTCAAAGTCGTCTTTCGGTATAATGGTATAAAGGTAAGTTACATCAGAACTAAGCAATTTATCCACTTTTATCTAAATTAATATCATCCAATGTATGCTTCAGATCATAAGAATTAGTAAGTGTAGATTTTGAACGGTTTCTAATCAGGCTTAGTGCCATCGCTAAATATTGAAATAACCCATAGGTCAGTGTTTCTTAAAAATACAATGTGTGATGGGAATCCTAATAGTGCAACGAGTCCTACTACGATTATTGGTTTTAAACCATCCTAACGTACCTAAAAATGGTTTCACGTAGCGTATTTGATCCTCTGTGTGTTTCTCAACCTTACTCATAATAGTACCCATTAGTTTCCTCATGGTTTTGTTTCTGTATATTTCTTCACTTCTCAAATTTAATCAGATTTGTTCAACACAATCAATAAATTGCTTTTTTCTGTTTCGGTAATTACTATATTGTTATCATTTCGAAGGTTTTTCAAAGCTTTCATTCCTGATTTTAGCAGATTTGTTTCATTTTCTTCTCTTGTTCCTGGTGTTAGTGCACACTGTGCTTGTACCTCATCTGCAACTGTCCTATCTACTGAACTTAATACTATTTGTGTTTTGAGAATGATGTGTTTAAGTTTCGATTCATTAAACACTACATTGAAGTTGATGACATCGTTTCTCGACTACTATGTGGTATATTTCCTTTGATGTTAAACTGACATCACAAGTATCATAGGCGTCCTGCTCTTTTCAGAAAGTTCGATTAAGTTTATCTGCTGAAGTGGTTTAATAGTTTGGTAATAGTTACTCATGGAGTTAGTCAACAACACTCTTCATGTCTGATTGCTACAGGTCCCATACTAAAAATATTTCACCTTTTTAACTGCCTGTTCGTGACACATGGTAACTTTTTGAAGACAAAAGACTAGTTTGATCTCGTTCAGTCTTTTATGAGTTGTTGTGTTTATTTAAACATGGTAAAATAATCTCAGTGCTTAACAGTAATCTCTTCTTTCATAGGTTTGAAATCTAGATTTCTAGAGTATGTTAAATATGGTTTATTTTCATCTATATAGTAGCGTAACCCCCTTCTTATATTGCTGTTTTATGGTCGGTCCTACTACATCATAGTTTAACTTTTTCATTATAGTGATATCAATGAATTTGGTGGGACACTGTCACAGTATTGGTTTTGGATCGATCATTCGCTAAACAACAACGATAGTCCTGACCACATTTTTGATTCTACTCACCTACCAAATATCATCGGTTCTAAATCTCGAGCATCTACAGGACTTCAGGTTCGTAGCCGTCGATCAACTACTACTACCAGCGGTTTGGCAAAAAGTAGTCAAACCATAGCTGAATCCGCTACAACTGGATCAGCTGCTCGATTTACAGCCAATTTCCAGTGTAAAGACCAAGTAAAATATGAAAAAGTCAACTCCGATAGTGCACTATCCAGACGAGGCAGTAAAACAAAAGATCAAATACAGTCTGATGAAGAATTAGTCAGTGATAATAGCAATAACATGCCAAAATTGAGTTTTGATAGTAAACAGCCTGAAAATGGCAAGCTTTCGGTAAGTATTCATTTTTAACTGTTAACTTCTGGTCTTAATTTTCATCAGAACATCTAATTTATGTACATTTCAATGATAATGATATCAAGAGGAAGAAACAACATAACTCGTCAACCATGTACAGGTTGATGTAGAAGTCTGTGAGTCAGATCTATGGTGTGACATTGCATTATTCTGTTTGTTTGCGCATACTAATATGCAGACTAGTGGAGTGGTTTACGAAGATGACTACCAACCGTTGGGTCGCGGGTCCGAGCCCCTCTCCACCTACCGAGGTTTGGGCAGCCGGGTAGTATCACTACCCCTTACACAATAGACGTGGCTCATTGCCTTCTGCATAGATGTGCACAAGGTGGCTGAGTGTGCTTTGTCCAAGTGGATGCCTCAGTACTTTTGGCGCTTGCATTTTGGCATGACTTAGTGGGCGTAGTAGTGGACACTATGCCAACAGATGGTAATAAATTTCACCTTATAATTCGAACAAATAAAAGATAGCTTGCTTGAATGTATATTCTTCGTGTAAGAGGAAGTTACCATAACTCACTGGGTAAATGAATAACATGGTTCTTTTTTGAAATGGCAGGGTTTATAGCTTAATGGACAAGAACTAATAGTGTTGCGATGGCTTCCACAATGTTTGAAGAAGTTTCGGGTGTACACCTTTCATAAGGCTTGCACGAACTCCATAGATGACACTAAAGTTCTTTTCTGCAGTTACCAGACGGACACAGTCGAACGAATGTTTTTAAGTAGAGCTGCGATATCTACATATATCATACCGTACTCTGTACATAGTTTGTGTATACTGTGTTTATTTGTGTACTATATATACTTTTTCACCGGTGTATTTCTTAACAGCCTATCTATTTAGAATGTCAACTAGTGATGTGTAATCGAGAGAAGTATCAAAATTATATACGCGTTCTTGAAGGATTACTTTCTTCTAGTAACAGTGATAAAAATAGCCCTTCTACTAATACGTTTCCTACCAATGTTGGTAATACTACAAAGTCAATATTTGAAACGCATGACAAAAAATGTTATTGTCTGAGACAAATACAAATTGAAGAATTATCTGAATATCACAGACAAAAGAATTCTCTAAAAAACGCTGGTAGAACACAAAATCTATCTGTTGGTCTTCATGTCATTGCACCATATGACTGGCGTGCCTCCAAGGTATATTCGTCCAATGAAGCTCAGAATGTTGTTTATCTAGGTGAGATTTTTGATGTTTTTTTTTGTTCAAAAGTTTGTCATCAATGTTAATGTTATTATTTTTTGTATTAAAAGTCAATCAATTAACTTATTATTGTGAAATCCCCTCTTAAACGGTACGTAACGTTGTTAGGTGTTTAGAGTTAATTAGCAGCAAGATATGCACCTTAATGTCACACTCTCTGTTTTCATCAGCAAACCGCATCCAAAAGCCTAATGAAACCTATGTCTCTTTAGGAATTCGAAACTGTGTCACTCATCTTCAAAACATAATATTTAACCGATAAACTAATCCAATGAAGCCTAGAAAATTCAGTATATCTAATGCAAATTTCACATTTGTCAAATCTAAAATGATGCTTAAGTGAGTGAGTGAAACAAAAACGTATCTTGTATAGATGTAACTTTACAGCACCTACAAGTATACACTAGGAAGACGGAATTAGATTACCTATCAAAGAACGAATGAATTGCGTAGCAGTTCACTCTTTCTTACTATTTGACTGTTAAATATACTTGTTAAAGGTGGGGCAGCTTAGATATATTACATATTTTGATCACCATAGTATCGATTGCATAGTTTGCGATCATAAAGTTAACAATTTTGCGTTCGGGTGTGGGTTGCTAAACGAAAATTATAATTTGACTGTATTTTGAACGTCCATCGGTTGAGCTGGATGAAATATGTTACGTAAACCGAGCTAACACCTATCTTGATGTGCTATGCTAATGAGCTAAGTTAGTTAGAAGGAAACCTAATAGAAACCGGGTCAAAACCGATCCATGAAGTCTCTGCTGTTTGATCTAAGGTGTGTAGCTAAGTACAGTCTAATTCCCTGAAGATACTATAAATTGACCACTAAAAAGTTGACTGGCTATCTTAAAATTGATCACAGTGGTTTAGATGTGTTCAATCTTTCTTACTTCCGTAATATTGAAAATTTCACTTACCTTAGTACCCTCGTAATACTTTTTATTGTCTTGTTATTACTTTGAAATCACTCTAGTTTTGTTGATTTCACCCATGTTCCCATCTTGAAGTGTAGTAACTTGAACTGCTACATTTCCTTTCAAGGTTTTACATACATTTGTTTGGTAGAGGTAAGAATCTCAACTTCTAAACACTGAACTTCTAGTTTGAATTTGTTCTGTGTACTATAGGCCCTTTGTGAATATCCCTGTGTTTGTACACACTGCCTCCAATCACCAAACTGTTGAATGCGCAGAAGTCTTCAAACAGTTCCCCATTCTCGTTCATTTCACCGAGTGCTTCTCGACCCATGATTGGTTCTCTCCTTGTGTTGTCGGCTCCCAGTTTGGCATTCATGTCACCCACCCATTAGAATTTTGATGTCGCCATCTATGGTGGGGTCTTGTCCAGTGCTGATTGCAGTTGTCTATAGAATTCCTCCTTGTTCTCTTGATCTACATTATTTGTAGGTGCGTAGCGTAGCATTGTATGATTGTGACTTTCCTTCCTTTTGAGTTGAACCTTGGTGTCATGAATCTGATCGTGGAGGAGGTTGGTTCCCACTGCCTGGGAGCCTTCGATGCTGTTGAGGACATCATGATGATCACTCCAAAACTCAGTGTGCTCGTGGTTGTTGTCTGGGGTGACAATATGGGAGTAGATTATTGACTCCTCTCCAGTTGATAGGCTGGAGAGTCCACTTCCATTCCATCTGCAGATTCCTAGCCGAGCACATCTATGCCATTCCTTCTCATTTCTTTTGCAATCTTGGCAGCCTTGCTAGGTTCAAACATCATGCGGAAATTCCATGTCCCCATGTTTACTTTCGCTTTCATCGAGAAAAGAGAAGACACGTTGACCAATTGGCTTCTCGAAGGCTTTCAACAACTGGCGTCATTTAGCCTCTTCGATTACAGCATGGAATGAGTTTGATTTCATTTTTTATATTTTCTTTGTGCTTTGAAGTTTCTTCAGGGATTGGATCGGGTTTACGGGGCAGGGTTGCTAGCCCTAGGCGTAACCTCCCCTGTTTGTCCGGGCTTGGGACCGGCCAATAACTAGTGAACTAGTTACCTAGGTCAGGTTGATTTTTAATTGTGCACCAGAATATTTTGAAATAGAAGTTTCGTTATTCTTTTTAAGCGTGACCAGTAGATACCACGCAGGTAAACTTCATTCAAACCGTGTGATTATATATTTCTTCTTCTTTAATCGTTGTGTTATAGATATGGTTGACTCAGTACGTCCTATAGGTGATCATTGGCTACGTTTAGAAAAGTTGCTGCCATCTGCATCATCTTCTTCACCAACGCATTTTATGCAGTCATTCGATAATAAATTCAACGATTTGTCATCATTGAATGACGAAGTATTCATTTATTTCGATCCTGTCATGAATGATGCAATAGAAAAGCGTCAAATATGGTTGAATGCAATTGAATCAGCTTTAAAATTAGAACGCTATAAACGACATGTGGGATATCATCATCATCGTCACAATCATCAACAACAACATTCTTATTTTGGTATGAATAATTCAGATACGACTGGAAATGATATAGATTTATTCAAGCGATCTAACAACGCTGAATCAGTACGCAGTGCTTTACAACGAGTAAGCTGATTAATTATACGAACAGTATGTGTATTAATCATGATTGAGATTCAAATAGTTCTGGGTTGTTTGCAGATTTGAACTGACTACTGTTTCTGTGTTTCAAGCTCCGATGCTTCATTAGCCTATCTGCGCTATCTAGCTGTTAACTTAGTATCAATTTCAAATTAGTTAACTAGTCTCATACTTGATTGTCATATGAATAAGGGGATAATCTGTTTGCATCTAACTTTTTGAACTGTTCCTATCCTCATATCTTATTGTATATACTTCTTAAGCTGAAATTCCGCATTCAAACTTGTAGATATTTCTAGTTTGGAAATTTTTGGGGGATTAATTGATTTCACAGTATTGTTCGCTACAAGGTAACATCAGTTGGGGAACCATCGAAAACTTAAAAGCACTGGGCAGCTGTTTTGTTCTAGTATCGGAATCCTCAATAGTACCCATCCTACTACTCTGAAGTAGATCGGTCCTCACAAACCTCCAAACTATGTTACTATCTAGTTCTTATCTTTTAAGGTGGACTACTCGAAGTTCTGATGAAAAACCGTGATCTATGAGGTCAGTCAAGTTGGGTGTGAGGACAAATACCCGCTGACGGCATCGAATGATGATTGCGCTGTATTATGAATTGACAGAAGTAGGAAAATGTGAAGCGAGTGAGTGACCTGATAGTCCTAGGTTCGAATCTTGATGAGGTCGCAGATGCGCACCGCTCATCAGTTTCATACAAAGGCGAAATGGATGTTCAGTACTCAAATGTTTTCACTTACTTTATAAAGTAGTTAGTGCGGAAGATGTCACTAAGCCTAGTAATGAGACGTTCACGACAAAATATCGAAGCCCAGAGAACATCAAACCACCATCATCCTCATCCTGAGCTACAGATCTTTTTTCCATCATTACAAAATACTGCTTAGATGCATACCACCGATCAGAGTTTCTCAATGAGCATAGGAGATTAACCGTAAAATCTGTATTTTTCTTGTGTGATCCTTCTCCTAATAGAAAAATCAAAACCTTGTTCCAGTCAACCAATTGAAACTCACTTTGTGGCCTGTCTTAGATCATTATAATTAATGAAAGTGAAAGCAGTAGCTTTACAACTTTTTCAATGTTCAAACTTCTGTGCAAGTCAAAAGTATTGGAACTTGTTTCTCAATAAATTTCACCAATGTTAATGCTTAATTACTCCTGTTGGGTTCAAATAGACTCATAGTTCAGGAAAGGTGAAGTTTTTTTAAAGACGATCGTAGCTGGAAATTTATATTTTTATTTTAAGGAAGATTTTTTCAGTTAGTTCACAAACATGTTCATAAAGTAATTGATAGAATATGACCGAATAAGCATCTATTATCAGTACTACCATAGGTTACGAAGTTACATACGGCATATATAAGATTTTAGACAGGCAACGAAACACGGAAAAGAAACTCAGTAACCATATGCACTAGGCAATAAGCTATGCCTACTGTACGGGGGTTGCTGATACCATTCTACCGCCTAAACCTGGGTAGTGAAGCGGGTTTTGAGCCTGTAACCACCTAATTGGACGTCGAATGTCCATTTTGACAACTAATTAATCCTTTTATCATATAATGTTCATTATTAACGATTCTCGAAGTTGCGCAACTTATGAAGACTACAGTGATTTTATCACTATTGTTTCCGAGACGCTGATCGCATTACATTACATGTGAAGCTTTCTGAAAACTTGGATTAGTAAATAAGGCTGTAAGTATGCCTCAAGTGAGATGCTTCTTAGTCTGACTCGATGTCTGCTAACGTAACCAGTAGGTTGGTAGACGTCTAAGGATGATCAAACCGAGATACGAAATCCACTTGTTATATAAGTTACTACGTTTTTTATTATTATATGGAATTGTAAAATTCTTAAATGTGTAGTTCGCTAAACAACCGAATTCGATTGATTGAAAAGCCCTAGTTTACAGTCTGTCAAAATGACACAAATGGAGTTATTTTTTTCATCCTCATCGACTCTGAATCATAAACACTGTACTTCTTTACATGTAATTTCGTCTCTCCACTTATTTCCTTCCATTTTTATGTTGTTATGAGATGCGGTAATCTAAACTGATGCATTTTTATGTGAAACTGTACTGTTGTAAATTATGATAAATAGAGAAAGTCAACACAGAACCTCGTATACAAAAACATTGGTTCAAGATACCACACTTTACAACAACATGCAAAAAATAACTGGATAGTAAAAGATGTATGCGAGTAGAGAGGATTTAAAAATTAGGGTTGGTCAAAACATTCAAGCTTCCCATGACATCAAAGAGTGAATACATCTGCATCATTGTAACTGATTTTCAACCATTTCACCATGTGTCCTCAACCACTGGTTCTTGTTGTTTCAGAGACCTCGGCCAGATAGTCTACACCTCCCTACACAGTTGAGACCAACAGTGTGAGACTTCATGAACTGGTGCCACGTCTTGGTATGACTACCCTGAACCTCTTTCCAACTTAATCCAAGTTTTGCTAGTATCTCACGTCAAAGTAAGGTGGTGGTTTGGCACGCACAGTAAACGTCCAAGCCACTCCAGTTGATGAAGGTTCACAACCTCATCGATTGATTTACCTTCCTTGCCTAGTACCCTTTGACTGGCTTCAATATTGGTCATATAGTGATTCTACTATGCTCAAGCAATGGTACTAATAGATTTTGTTATAAAATATGGATTATAGTGATCTATTTTTATTCTAGAAGTGTTGTAACAATTGTTTAGTGATTTTCTTCAATGGATTAATGTATACGGTTGTGAATTCTAAACGGATAAGAAACTAAATTATTTCATTCGCTCCGTTATAGTTCGTTGGTTTAGGGGTTTGAATTTCAACCAGTGGGTAATGATAGTCTTCTAATCTGCTCCACCTACTGAATGTTCCACAACTAGTTATTATTATGAGGGAGTTGTGGAGATTTGGAATTATTTCAAGTTGTTATTCATCGTAGACTGACATCAGTTGGAGGAACAAAGGAAACCTGGGAGCACTGGACAGCTGTTTCGTCCTAGTTCCGCGGCCAGCGCGTTACCTGAAGGTCGCGGGTTCGATCCCTGCTGTTGGGGTCGTGGGTGCGCACTGCTGAGGAGTCCCATACTAAGACGAAACAGTTGTCCAGTGCTCCCAGGTTTCCTTTGTTCCTCCAACTGATGTCAGTCTACGATGAATAACAACTTGAAGTTATTATTATCTTTATTCCTAGCAAGATAAGTAGTTTGTTGTCTAGTTCGAAGGCTAGTCAATAAATACACGATTTTCATAAACTGAAATGTGTACATAATCATTAACTTCTATAGCACTGAGCGTTGTTGAGGCTGTTGGATTCTCAAAAATGGACCGTTTATGCCCTGAATTCCTAAAATTTACTTTATAGAACGTTTGATTTTATCTTCTTCAAGTCTTTCTTCACTTCTGGCTTGCTGTTGCTGCTTTGATAGACTCTAGTTTCCTATTGATTTTTCTCCTAATTTTGACATGCCAATTTGCCCATTTGCCTCAAGAACACCTACATTGTATTATAAAGGTTAGAGTTGTGCTTCCAGATTCATACTCTTCAATTCAATATTATCTTCTTCCGTATGTTGGCCATGCGATTTGTCGAGTCCTATTTCGTTTATTCGGCATCTAGATTACTGGATCTGAAAATCTCAACAGTAGTAGTTGTGTTAACTGTTATATCATAAAGTAGAGCTAATATATATTGGTGCTTATAGACTTTTAATATTTTCTAAAAGTTTTTTTTCATACTTTTTCTGAACATCTTACTTTTCGTTTTTCTGTATAAAAAACTAACAACAATGATAACAATACGACTGCTTATATCAGTACGCTCAAGAAACTGAATTGTTCGTCATACGTCAACGTCAGAAAGGAAGAATAAAAGTGATAACACTCTTTCCAGAAATTAGAGTAAGTTGGTAATTAATTTTTCTTTCATGTTATCTGCATCAAATTTTATTCCATAATTTTTCTGTTCTGTGTTGTAGATGAACCGCATTCTTAATATATACTACTTTTTGTAACTTAGAGAATAGCGTACAGCTCAGCTACTTGTTATAAGCTTATTTATCCGTCTGTTGTTAACAGTTAACGCTTGATCTCTTGTGATACCTGTCAGTGACCCAAGACAAACAAGGTGAGGCAAGATACAAGGGTTGTATTTATCAGTTGATGAAGGTTCGACCATTAAGAGTGCAGCTTGACAACAAAAACACTAAGGGGGCCTTAAGTGAGAAACTGGAACAGAATACTATCACTCATCCAGAAGAAGCTTGGTACCATCTCTATTCTGCTGTAAAAACAGCGTTGAAGACCATAGCTAACTCTCTAAGAGCGGTTAAAAAAAGCTAGTGGATACCAGCAGCCTCTTCTGAATTAATGAATGCATACGAACTCATCCGTCTAGACTCTGAGTACAGTGAGAAGCAAGCGCAACTCAAATGTAGACTGAGAAAAGTTTACTCAATAACCGCGAACAGTGGTGGGCAGCGAAGGCTAAAGGGATGGAAAAGACAGTGGCAATATGTAAAAGTAGACAATCATTTAGACTTATTATGGGAAATGGGGCGAAAAGGTCAACGCTTAATGAGACTAAAGCGAAGAAGGATGGGTCTGCGATTTACTTGCAGGGGGGACGACTGGGACGATGGGCAGAACACTAAGAGGAACAGTTCAACTAGCCTCCAGCTACTTTTCCGTTGCCCACTATCCTCCCGGATCCCGAATGAAACATTGAGATTCGCGCCCCAATACTTGCAGAAGTCGAGAAAGCGGTAGGTCACTTGAAACTAGGAAGGGCAGTAAGACCAGATGAACTAATTCCTGAGGTTAACGAAGATGGTGGTGGAGTGTTTTTAGTCAAGTTAACTGAAGTGTTAGCTAGTGTATGGGAGTCCAATATGATCCCCTCTGACTAGTCTCAATGACTGATGATCCCAGTCTTGTGATAACCATGATGTTACTGTAAGTGACACTTGATTGCTATACAATATATCACGTGTCAATCAGTCAGTCAGTCGGTTATCAACACACGGTCTGGCGTTACCGGGCAAAAGTCTAAATTATCACACGTCAGCGCATCTAGATACGTGGTAGTAAGAAGCAGCAATGGGAGATTACAAGTATCAAAACACACCTGGTACCCGTTGCTCAAGACGTGTTTCCCGCACCCCAGTGGTCTGTTGGATAACACTTTGACTTTTGAAGCGACGAGAACAATATCACTCACTTAGGTGTAGATACATTGGACTAAAGAATCCTAAATCAGACAAAACGCTCACCCCGCATTCCACTGCTAGTCACCAAGCAGTTTATAAGGAATAAAAATACTATCGAAAGTCGTAAGAAACCATAAGACAGTAAGAAGAGAGAGATGAGGCTTACATTTCATACATCCTCAAATTGTTACCCAACGTGTCCAGAAGACTCCAAATCTCGCCATGTTCCTCGTCTGACATGAATACATCATCTTTATATTCTCATTCGACAGAGAAATCTCCTACAACAAGCTTATACAGAGATGTTGAACTATGTTTATCAGTGGTCATAATTTCAAGAAAGTTTTCTTTTCTTTTCTTTTCTCAAACAGATAAGCCAGTATAAAGGAAAAACGTGTTCACATGAACACGTTGTGAATAGTCTACTACAAACCGGTCCCAAGGATTCTTTATCACCATTTCCTGATCGAACAGTTGAATTATGCAGTCGACGATTTTTAGCAACATGTTTAAATCTATATTCAAAAATTCGAGCCAATGTAGACGTATCCGGAAATGCTTCTCCTCACATTGAGAATGTAAGTATTTATCTCTGTAAGACTTTTTTGTATTATTTATAATCCTATTTCTAAACTAAGGTGATCATTGAATACAACACCTTTACATACAGTTTTAATTAATGTCATTTATGAACACCCCCTATGCTCACAGTGCAATTCTATCTTGTCTCAGTTACCTATTTCTGTTTGATTTTTTCAATGAAATGTGGTGTTCCCAACTGTAATAGGATCACTATAAGCTGCAGTCCTTTCTTTGCAGTAGTTTAAAGTTTTAACCTTTTACTGATGTGGTGATTGCATATCAAGTGAAGTGTAGGAGTAAAATTTGGGCACTCTGGTAGATTGTAATTCCATTTTAGTATGCTTATCATAAATGTCACACAGTGAAACATTATCATTTACTGGATAACGTTTCGGACGCAATTCATTGTCCATATTCATATCAGGTCAGGTAACTCCACAAATTTGAGACAGACTTTGTATAGTCCTAATTTTCTCTCCTTCTCTGTGATGACAAGGGTGTTAGAATTTTCCGTATATCTGGGACCGGTGCACAATCATTTCTATTACCGCATGTATTTGGTGTTGATTGGATAAACAAAGATTCAGTCAGTTATCAATCTCTCCCTCTAGCCAACTAAGTTAGTTTTTAACGCTATCGTTCTATCCCACTCTACTGTGTGATTGTTTGTAATTGCGTGTACGGCTATAGTCGAGGTTTTTTCTAAATTTCTTATCTTATTAGGATCTACTAATCTTGATTTTGCTAAGTTTTTGTGATCTGTTACTCTAATCGACTACTTAGGTCAAAGCTCGGCTACAGCTGTACACGCAATTACAAACAATCACACAGTAGAGTGGGATAGAACGATAGCGTTAAAAACTAACTTAGTTGGCTAGAGGGAGAGATTGATAACTGACTGAATCTTTGTTTATCCAATCAACACCAAATACATGCGGTAATAGAAATGATTGTGCACCGGTCCCAGATATACAGAAAATTCTACCACCCTTGTCATCACAGAGAAGGAGAGAAAATTAGGACTATACAAAGTCTGTCTCAAATTTGTGGAGTTACCTGACCTGATATGAATATGGACAATGAATTGCGTCCGAAACGTTATCCAGTAAATGATAATGTTTCACTGTGTGACATTTATGATAAGCATACTGAAATGGAATCAAATGAAGTGACTAGGCAATACCTACTTCGTGTATGCCTTCCACATGTAGTAAACAGTAGTAGTATCTTAAGCTGAATATGAACATAAAATACCTTGAGGCACCACAGTTTGAAGTCATCACGTGTTATTTCAAGGTGTGTATTAATGAGGTATATGTAAAATATAGAAGCAGGAGTTTTTGAACATCGAATCGAATCAAAATGTGTTCAGCAACCTTTTGAATATCCGTACAGTAGGTAACAAACCACATCTAGTGTGTGAAAGCTGATATTTACTACCTACCTGCCCAAACCTCAGTAGGTGGAGTGGTGCTCGAACCCGTGACCCATCAGTTGAAAGTTATCTCCCAAATTCAATTTCAGAAATGTGGATATCTTGGCCAGAGAAAACACAAACAATATCAGAGTATTCTTAGAAGCTTGATATTTAGGTTAATCAGCAATCAATATACGTATAGACGTAGACCTAATCTATCAGACACCAAGAAAGTCATAAGGTCAGAGGTCGTGCAGATAAGTGAATATTACGAAGATCTATGCAGTCAGTGACAGTCAGAAGAAACTACCAATCACGCACCACTTTTTCGAAGTAGGTTACTGGATCACTCAAGGAGAAATTCGGGTAGCTCACTTCATATTCAAGTTAGTACTGATGATATTGTCTAGAGAGACAATGAGAGCTTCACGATTAAACTCAGAAAACTTGACAAAACCGAAAACATGAGTTAGTTAAATGTTTTTTGAACCATTTGACTTATTGACCCATCACTGGTATTCGCAGAATCCTTTTGTTTTCTTCGCAAAACGTTTTGGTATTGATTATTGGAACTTGAAGCACGTGTGTTTGTGTGTTTATTAACACTTTAACTATCGAGACCGATTTTTCATTATTCATGCTAGGAGATATTGTGATTTATTATATCTTGTCATAAGTGAGATTAATCTGAGGACGTCTGGCATATGTTCCATTGAATGTTTAACCTTTTTATTTAATCAGCTTCGCTGCAACTCATCCATACAATGGTTGGAATTACAAGAGTCGTTTAAAAAATTCTTACTAGCCAACAGAATTTAACCGTTGCTACGATCTAATCTGAAATTTAAAATGTGCTTTGTTTTACAGTAAGCTGTAACAGTAATAGTGATAATTTTAGAAATATAGTGTGTCATGATCGCTTCTGGGGAGCGAAAAGAGCGGAATACGCTGGACCGCGGAAAAGAACCTAGAAGACTTGAATTTCACCGATGACTTGTGTCTGATGTCACAAACTTGAAGATCTACAGGCGAAAACTAACAAGTTGGTAGAAGAGGCGAGGCAGCGAAGACGGGACTTCAGGTGAATATAGAAAAGACAGAGGTGATGAAGATACCTCACCAACAATAATAACAAACTCCAATCACCATCAACGGAAGAAACCTAAAGGAAGTAACCTCCTTCACCTATCTAGGCAGCACTGTTTCAACTACAGGCGGGACAGACGAGGATGTCATAGTCAGAATCAAAAAGACAGCAAGACAGGCGTTCATTAACCTGAAACAGGGGTCGAGATCTTCTGCACTCAGCATGTGGAACTAGATCCAGATTTTCAACACCAACGTTGAGAGACTTGGTGCGGTTACGAAAGGGATTTCCAACAAACTACACACATTCATCAACAACTGCCCCCTACGCTGGCTCGTTACTGAAGATCAGATGGATTGACAGAATAATAAGAGGAAGCAACAAGGAATTCTGGCTGGTTGACTGGCAACGGACCAATCAAGAACCTATCACTCAACAAATATGCACTGGAAGGAAGTGGAGATGGATTGGATTGGGCATACACTGAGAAGACCAACTGGGGGCATCACGCGTCAGTTCAGGCCGTCGAGTGGAACCCAGATGGGAAGCGACGAGTTGGGCGTCCGAGACGAGGATGATATGGAGGAGATCGTGCGAGGAGGAAATGAGAGCTTTTGGGCTGTTGTGGAGCCATGTTGAAAGGATTTCAGAGAACAGAGTGCATTGGAGACGTGCTACTGAAGCCCTATGTTCCACTAGGAACCCAAGGGACAAATAATAATAATAATAATAATGATCGCTTCACTACATAACTTTGTTATTACTTAGTTGCCTATGAAGCTATCATTTTGTACTTTCTTAAATTTTTAGCCAGAACCATATTTTGTCACAATATTTTTGGTGGATGTGAATGATGGACGTCGTGTTAGTGAAGATTTCTACTGGAATCCTAATTCATCTCTAATTGATTCCATGTTACCTTCAGATCAATTCAAAATCTTACCCTGGTTATCATTAAATAACAACACAGTAATCGATGTGAAAAATCACTCCCTTGAAATAAATGATACTGGTTTATTAAATCATAATTCAACTAGCCCACATAGTAATCATAATACAACATCTGTTCGAACACGTGGACATGCACCGCCTCCACCACAGAATAATGTGATCTCTCCGTATGGAACACATAACTCTGTTTCCTCCGATTGTCTACACAAATGTCGTACAGTAAGTTTTGTTGCATTATGCAGTTATTAAGCCTTAGTTTTGACAGTATTTTTGTTGATATAAATTGCATTAGGTTATATACTTCTAACCTTGTAGATTGTCTAATGCAAAAGTTTGTAGGTGTATAGGTGCATGCACCATCCTCTCACACACACGCACACAAGCTGTACCAGTGTTGGTTTATCATGTTCAGGTCGAGTTGTCTGATAAATTATAACTAAATGAAATTGAATTAATCTATTTCTGATCGACACATTTTAAAGAGTCAACACGATTTCACATCTAAAATTGCGTATTATTTTCATTGAACTTAGAATTTATCAACTGACCTATTATTATAGTAAGATCATGTTAAGCAAATGATCAGTTGAAGCTACGTCTGTAAGCCATTACCTTTAGAAGCAGTCAGGTCAGAATAAATATTGGTGAGTTAAACCAGTGAATGGTAACTGTGTGTTCCAAGATATCTAAAGAAATAGAAATTGTTGGCCATAGGATTTTAAATCTATGGTTGAGTAGTAAGTAAGAGGTTGGTCAATTGTCTTTATTTGATAGCAGGTTATGTCTACAGTTATCACCCTCAAAAACATTCCAACCATAGAATAAATTAGTGGAGAATATTTGTAGCTCAGGTGGATAGTTTTGGTTGTATTGTGTTCTCTGAGCTGGGTTGTTTAATCGTGAAGCTTTCATTGTCCTTCTAGACGATATCATCAGCACTAACTTCAGTATGAAATGTCTTGGTGTCTTGCTCTACAACTTCCAGTTGTTGATTCAAATAATATCTTTCTAGGGAATGTTTTTTGCGGTTAAACAATGACGAAAGTTTAAATTGAATAGTGAAGTGACAAAAATGACATGTAAGGTGGCAAAGCAGTTTATTGCTTCATAACCAGTGATGAGGGACTAAGAAAATATCGAAGAGAACAGAGAATATCTAGTTGTTGGCACATACTTGTAGTTCAGAGTGTTGATGTTCATAGTTAGCCACTGCCACTACCTCAGTTGAAGTTTTATTCAACAATGAACTTCAACATATATCCATTCACTTACAGTCCTGTCACTACTTTTTCAACCAGATAAGATCTTCGATTAAAAGTATCTTGACGCAAATGAGTTACTTCACTCATTTCTTTCTCGACTTCATCACAGTTGCAACACTCTGTCACTATGGGGGGAAGTTCACAAATTTTATGGTGCGCACCGTCGTTGCTTGCTACTAAGTAAACTTATATCATCATTATTATAAATTCTGGAGGAAGAGATGGAGAGGTAGTTAGTTTGTGAAGTGGAAGTTAGATTTATTTGATTAGGGTACGTTAACGTGTGATAGCTCTTTGGATGGGATTCATGGGATAATAGAACTCATTTACCCTCTACATGTTTATGTACTTGGCTGTTCGCCATACCTAATGTGAGATGTTATCACATGATCTGGTTGTTCATTGCTTGAAAAGTTGAATGTTTAAACCAATTAGTCACAGCCCCACTCTGCCATCCACTGGCCTTTGGTTATGTTGAATATAGTAAAGATGAACAGCAGCTAGCAGTGGAATCCAGGATGGGCATTTCATCCGATTTGGGACTCGTCAGCTGGATGTACCTGCCTCCCAGTGAGTGATGTTGTTTTCACCGGAGTTCGGACTCAGGAGCGGTCGCTTCAAACGCTGGAGGATTATCCGCTACACCACCGAGCCACGATAATCACTTCTTATGTGTCGGGTATAGTTTTAGTGTTATTGCTTGTATTATTACTGTCGTTGAGACATCCGTACAAGAGCCCATACAGCAATAGAGACCGATCAATTCGGTCCAATTAACGACGGTATAATACAAGCAATAACACTATGTTGAATATAACCGAGAATAAAAACAGTTGGCGATCATGGTGTAGTTTTCTTGTGTCTTCTACTTTTGAATAATAACACAAGTATTGAATGGTTTTTCAATCCTGTATGAGTACTCCTGCCATATTTATTCTGTTATTCTTCCTATCTCTCACTTTCTATCTTCACAATTCCATTGTAAAGCTCATTTCTTGATACTTGTCTGGTGAGAGACGTGGCTTGTTGACTTAGGAATTCGATTTCAAGCAATGGATCCTGAGTTCAAACTCTGTTTCACATACCTTAGTATTGGCAATCAGGTAGTATCATAAACACTAGCAAAACAATTGTGGCTTGTAGCGTAGTACATAAACTTTTTCTAGGCTGAGTTAAATTATACCAGTCATATAAATTCAATGAAAACACGAAATGGTTGGACAGTATAGAAACAAATCAATATTGATGATGTTCAGCTGGTTACTTTGACTTCTCTTCATGATGTAGAGAAGATAATGCATCGTCTTGATCATGCATCTTTTGCATTGGAAACCGTGTTGACATGGTAGTTGCACATTTAAAAATAAACCACTCAACTAAACGTTGTGAATACATTTTCACTGATCATAGTTTAAAGTCATTTAACAAAGTGAAATGTATTCTTTGTTCAATTTTTCACTTTTCGAATTCATACATAAATAACTATCTTGATATCTTTGCCTAATGCATCCAGTGATCAATTTTGTTTCGGTTCAAAAGTTGTCATAGTTATTTTAAAGTCTATTTCAATAACTGTGTCATTTTCTATTGATTGATACTGTCTACTCTTTTTCCATACCTGATCGAAATCCATTTCATTGTGACCTTTTTTTCTGTTGTAACATTTCTTCTCTGTAATTTATATTATGAACATTTTAAATTCACATAGCGTGTAGGTAATTAGAATATAATTGATTTGTTTTAATACTTGTAATTTCCTGTTGCTATACCGAGTCGAATTACTCGACCTCTGTTAGCATATGGGCTCATATGCGAATTCCCCAGTACTGCTGGACATTCATGGTGTCATATTCATCTTGCTGACTAGCAGTGGAACGTAGGACGCGCGTTTTGTCCTATTTGGGACTCGTCAGCTGAATGTATATGCACCCCTGTGAGTAATGATGTTCCTAGGGAGACTCGAACCCAGTAGCGGGAATTACAGGTATTAAGAAACAGTTGATACCCGTTGCACACTAGATGGCTGTCATACCACGCTTTGGCATTCGACGCGATGGGTGGTGGGTCCGAGTCTCAGTGGGAACAAATGTGGTGTAGGTACATCCAGCTGACGAGTTCCAACGAGGTCGGAACGCGCGTCATGGGTCCCTTTGCTAGTCACCAAGATGAATACAGCTATTTTAGTTTTATTTATGTGATGATTTCCTAGTAGTAACCTGTGTTCAGCTTCTTGATGGTGTGATTTGGTATTAAAAGCATATTGGTGTCATACCTGACAGGATTTATTCGTGGAGGAAGAATCAACAAGCACTTAGTAGTTTCCATTGATAATGTTTATTGATAAATTGCACCTGGGCCGTAATACTACCCGGATACCGAGATTGAAGTTGTATACCGTGTAGTAATAAGTGAAGCAACTCAGTTCGTTACAAACTTATATGGTAGGCTATGATCTATACTTGTTTTGCGTGTAAGGGTTTATGATACTTTGATTGGTCACTGGAGGGTAACCACCTTCATGTCGCCTAATCCTAAGTACTGATCGGATTCTATCGTTTACTTTTACAATGCGGCCACTAGGCTAGGCAGCTCAGCATCGTGATGCACTTTGGTAGGTGTTAGTTGGATTGATAGGCAGGAAGCCCTGGACCTAGGTTTCGGCCTTGTTGGCTGGCACTCGTCAGCAAGGCGTATCTTCAACTTTGACAGGACTGATGTCCCGCCTGGGATTCGAACCCGCGTCGCCCAGTGTTGTAGTTGGTGACGTTACCACTGAGCTATTTAGGGCAGCTACTGACCTCCTGTAGGACTGCCGTAGATAAAGTGATTGGTCACTGGAGGGTAACCAACTTCATGTTGTCTAGTCCTAAGTGGAGTTCCATATTATGTCTTCAATGCAGACACTACAACCACTTTTGTTTCTGTGTGGGTACTTAATTTACCTGAGAATGCTCTTGACCTTGGGAACTTATTCTAATTAAGCAGTGACAGCAACCGTCTGATGCATTACCATGTATTAGCATGAGTTTATTAAATGTTCAGCAACCGTGTGCATGTTTATGCACTAGGCGATCTGCTATACATAATGTGTGAGAGCTATGCAGTAGGTGGAGCGTGGTTAAAACCTTTGACCCACTGGTTGACCGTCAGCCATCTATGCTAATGAGTCATAACTTCACAAGTTTAGTGAAATTCTGCATACTTATGCTATATCTTTGTCGTTTTCTGCGATTTCCATGAAGTTTGCCAGTTTACACACATATTCATTAGTGTTTCACTATAAGATTGATTGCTTTCAATTCTGCTTCTTCTATTCTCTTTCTTTGTTTATTATCTTTTACAGGCACTATTTTCAATTCCATCATATTATCACAGCAATAATCTTTACTTAGTTGTACGAGTTGATAAAGTCCTTAGTGGACCGATAAATGTAGCAGTGGAGAAATATTTAAAAAATAATACAACTTTAAATAACGGGAATGTAGGTATTACAATGAGTGATTGTAAAACTGGGTCTAGCATACAACGATCAATGGTGAATTATTGTCGAAATATCGGTCGATATCGTATGCCATTTGCTTGGGGTGCCAGGTAGGCTTATATCTCGTGTATGCCCTTTTTTAATCTTCTTTTTTTGCCTGTTTTTTTTATATTATGGTTGCTTATCTCAGTGGATTGTTCTCCATACATTTGGTCCTTTTGTTAGAAAACCATTGGATACCGGGGGACATTAGACAGCTATTTCGCCGTAGTACGGGACTCTTCAGTGGTGCGCACCCGACTCCGCACCCCAGGGGTCGAACCCATGACCTTCAAGTTCTGCGGTCAGCACGTTACCATTGAGCTACTGGGTCAAAATCCAGTGATGCATATTTCCTAATTCTGTCAGTTCACGATGTAGCACGACCTCCATTCAATGCCGTCATTGAGTAACTGTCCTCATGTTTCGACTTATCTCTACTGGTCACGACTTCTCATTGGAACTTCGGGAATCACCTATCAAAGCCAGTCACCAATGAGCACTAGATTAATTCCATTTCGGGGTTTGTAGAGGTTTATTGATTTCAAGTTGGTATTCATCGTGACTGACATCAGTTGGAGGAACATTGGAAACCTGGGAGCATTGGACAACTGTTTCATCCCAGTATGGGACTCCTCAGCAGTGCGCACCCATGACCCCACACCCCAGGGCTCGAACCCACGACCCTCAGGCTCCGCGGCCAACCCGTTACCACTGAACCAATGGGTTGTGGTCTAATACTTGGGGGTCACGCTATATCGTGAACTGACAGGAGTAGGAAATATACACCATTAGATTCCAGCGCAGTGGCTCAAACGTAACGTGCTGGAAGCGGAACATGAAGGTCCTAAGCTTGATCCCTTGGGTGCGGGGTCATGGGTGCTCACTGCTGAAGAGTCCCATACTAGGGCGAAACAGCTGTCTAATGCTTCTAGGTTTCAAATGGTTCTCCAACCGATGTCAGCCCATGCTGAATACCAACATGTAGTCGGTAAATCCCCACAAACTCTCAAAATTGATCTTTTTTTCCTAAACATGTAATGTACTTAGTTGTTATCTTCACAAGATGATTATACTTACTGTGTTCCTTTAAAAAGTATAACTTGACTAACAGCTTTGGTTGAAGAGCGGTTAGTTTGAATTGAGTGCTAGCATCAAAATGTAGAACAATCTCCAAAATAATTTAAAAATCAAGAATGAAGTCGTATAGCTGTAATACATAGTTGTAAGAATAGTAATTTGTTTCCGAAGGATAGTTTGTATTCCTTTATTATCGTAAGGGGAGTATTTTAAAGACTGGTCTTAGCAGTAGTTCATCTCCTACTTTCGTGAAGAGAATTTTGAAATCAAATATTTTTTAGTGAGGTTGTGTATAATAAAACTCAGACAGAGTCTTGAGAACTCTAAAATCCATAATCTTCTGTAGTATAAGAGGCTAAAGGGGATCTGTCACGTACGTCAGCACTAATATCATTCCTAGTAGGTGAGATGTGTGTGAAACGACTTGAATTTTAAAAGGATAGACTAGATGGATTCACTAACATTAACTTAATAAAAACAGGAAACATGGCTTATTGGTAATATCAACATACTACAGCGTTATTAAGTTGTAAATGGAGAAGTTTTCCCCTGTTGACTGTCCCAGCGGTAGGTTTTTGAGTTAGTACTAGATACGCTAATTCTGGTTACTTTAGCTCTTTACATTGATATGTTTATTGATATATTGGTTTACATGGTCAATAAGTGTAAGTTGACTCTCTGTTTGCTAGCTGACTGTCATTTCAGCCGAACTTCATCGACCTACTCATTAACAACCTGCTCTTATTTCGATCGATGTCTTGAAATTCTTATTGGGAGGTCTTTTCCTGTAGGGTTTAGAAAAAATGCTGAACTGAGAACACGAATTTTTACAAATAACAATAAATGATGAATATACTGCTCTGCAAATTGACTTTAATCGCAGTCAAACTACTCAATATAAAGCGTACCACAGAGGTGTATCAGTTCAGTTTTCGATAAGACAGAAGCATAGAATGGGAAAGGTGGAAGAAAATAAATGTTATTAAAATAGACAAAAGTGTATGAACGAGAAGGTAAATAATTAAGTTAAGGTCAGTAAGAATTTTTATATTTTTGGAAGATGAAAAAGAGCATGAACTATTGTGATCAATCTTTTAACCATATCGTCAAAGTTTTCAAACAACTGATTCCTATCTTCTCGTGGACTCAAGCCTTTTTCTCACTAGACAAACCAGATAACTAGTTAGAGGCTTCATGGATTGATATAATCTCTTGGTCTGTCTCATCTTTGCCTCTTTCCTAACTTCGATGTAAAACTGCACATCAACGTAACTGTTTCCTGGATATTTTTCTCGCATGTCTAAACCACCTCATTCGATGACTTTTCAAAAACTCATCAACCGGTTTACGTATCTCATCACATATTGCACGCTTAATCTGGTCATGCTTGGCTTTCCTTCAAGCTGATCCTATTTTAACGGACATAGTGCATCAAGATAGGTGATGACTAAACATATGAAGCACATGTGCAAGCCACTTCAGTCACCTTGGTTTCACATTGTCATCAATTGATTTGCTTTGTTTATCTAGCACTATGTGCTTAATTTAAACAGCGCTTACTCTATTGTCTTACTTCAAGCGAACAATGCTATGGAAAAAATCTATGGTCAAACTTGTAGTCTCTTCATGTCTTATACTTTTAACAGCGATATTTCACAACTATAGAACAGAACAGAGCGAACCGCTGAACAATATACTCGTCCACTAATATGTATTCGGATATCTGGTGGCCTCCAGAAGTAGTATAAATTGACAAAAGTTAAACGGGTATTATATATATCCCTCTTGAAATTCTGTCGGACTCCTGAGTCAGTGGTAACGCGTTCTTTACACTGCATAATCTTGTGTTCTATCTTGTATAAAATTGTTAGTGAACATCAACAGGATGCTCCAGTGATTGTAGCAATTCAAGTTCTGCATCCTATCTGCTTTCAACGACTCTCTGAATGATTTTGATCAGTTTGTGACGAAAACTACTTGTGAATCGACGAAATTATCCAAAGCACATCCGGTTTCATGAATCACAGTTTCATCTGTTTATTGTTTCAAGCATTTATCTATATTGATATGAGTCACGCTGTTATTTTGTAACAAAACATTTTCTCCTCCTAACGACCTGTTTTCTCTTCTACTTGATTTATCATTTATATTTGTTTTCTACTCCTACAGGTCACTAACTAGCTCCAGTCGTTTCATCCACCTATTCAAGATGGATTCGAACAAAACGTCTGAACAGGGGTTAATTCAATCTGTTCAAATGTTATCACGTCTATCAACTGATTCTAGCTCAGTGCCAACATACAAGGACGGTTGTGCAAATCTAACAAGTGGTACTACTACTACTACGATTGCTAATAATAACGATAGTAGTACTATTGATGCCAATCATCATAACATCCCAGAATCTTTGATTCAAATGTCAGGAATTCAATCAAGCCAACTGATTAAATCATCCAAAACTATTGGTAATAATAATAATGCTAATTTGAATAATCGTTCGCCGACTAAGGATAATACATTCTATCCAACGGAGCAAGATCGTATTTTCATTGATATGGCTGAGCGTTCATTGAAAACTCAGATGTTACCTTTTCGATTTGAATTAATTACTAGTGAATTAATTGATCAATATGCAGATCCCAATGCAAAAATCATATCACGTAAGTAATACGTTTTTTTAATGGTTAAAAACTTCCACATTTTTCTTCAGTTTGTATCAGTTTGCAAGGGTAGAAATATACTGAAGCATACTAGTTCATTATTATATTATTATATTTATTTGTCCCTTGGGTTCCTAATGGAACATAGGGCTTCAGTAGCATATCTCCAATGCGCTCTGTTCTCTGAAACCTTTTGAACCTAGCTCCACGACAGCCCACAACCTCTCATTTCTTCCTCACACCATACCCTCCATGTCACCCTCGGCACCAACGCCCAACTGGTCGCTTCCCATCTGGGTTCCACTTGGGGGCCTGACCTGGTGCGTGATGCCCCCAGTTGGTCTTCTCAGTGTATGCCCAGTCCAATCCATTTCCACTTCCTTCCAGTGCATATTTGTTGAGTGATAGGTTCTTGGTTGGTTCGTTGCCAGCCAGCCAGCCAGCCAGCCAGCCAGCCAGCCAGCCAGCCAGCCAGCCAGCCAGCCAGCCAGCCAGCCAGCCAGCCAGCCAGCCAGCCAGCCAGCCAGCCAGCCAGCCAGCCAGCCAGCCAGTCAGAATTCCTTGTTACTTATTCTTTCTGGCAATCCATCTGATCTTCAGTAACGAGCCAGCGTAGGGGGCAGTTGTTGATGAATGTGTGTAGTTTGTTGGAAATCCCTTTCGTAACCGCACCAAGTCTCTCAACCATACAGGAGCACTGATTTGACGTTGGTGTTGAAAATCCAGATCTCGTTCCACATGCTGAGTGCAAAAGGTCTCCTCACTGGTTTCAAGTCTTGTTGTCTTTCCGATTCTGACTTTGACATCTTCGTCTGCGCCGCTGAATATTCATGATAAGGATTATTTAAATTGTTTGTTGCCATATCCAGAGAAGTCATTGAGATAGCGAAAAACTTCAAAGCAACTACTACAGTAGTATCAAATTTCATACGTATGAAGCGATGTCATATCCACTGACCATAATTCGTGGTCTTCGATTACTCCTTGCTTGTAGACCTTGGAATTACTAAAGTATAGTTTTAAATGTCTTTTGTCTAACGTAGGTGTCAGGTATAGAGTTAATGAGGTTATGGACCTTCCTTGACTCAAATGGTTATGACTTGTGTTACGTATGTCCGGTCCGCATTTGGTTAGAGGCGACCAGACTTAAGACATGGTATCAATGCATGAAGTCTGACTATTTGCCTGAGTCGTGTAGGCAAATGTAGACTTCCCGCTTGGATCTGCCTAATGCGCGAACTGGAAGGTCGAAGACTGTATATAGTGTGGCTCAGAATCAAACTCAATTTTTACAGAGGTATCTAAGCATTATCTTCATCCTACCGAGATCTGGGCAGCCAGATAGCATAAATAGGCGTCATACAATGGCTGCGGCTCATTGCCCAGTACACAAACGTGCACAAGTTTGCTAAATGAATACCATTCGTTCGTCATCCTATTCTTCATACAAGATTTCAATGTTCTCTGATGCCTTCTTACTCTCTTTTAACCCCTTTGTTCCTCATTTCTCTATCTTTCACCTCGATACCTTCCCTTTTGATATGCTGGTTTGAGGAGTGGCAACTTGAACTGTTAAGCAACACTGTCACTCCCCATATTATTACTATCTATCTCTCAAATTTGGGCACTTCCCTACCTCCTAGCGAACATTCAAATCTCATGCAACACGAACCTAACATTTTCGAATTGAATCAGATATCTTCAGTGTTTTCGAAATCAGTCAACTCTTATGCATCATTCATGAAATACTACTGTTCGTCAATCTAAGGTAGATCACCAATTTTATAGGTTCAGCAGTATTGAAGTTTGACGTAAGTTTCTAGGAAAGGAAGGTGATAAGGTTATAAATCTAGAGAGATTAAGGTAGTTAAATCTGCCACCATAAAACCCATTCAGATATTTACTGAAGTAAAACAAACAATGTGAGCGAAGAAATATTTCTTTTCAGTTAGTTCCTCATCAATGGCTCTACACTAATATAGCATTTTCAAACGTAAAATTACATACCAATCTAGTGGTGAGAGTTTTTCAATGAAAGGTTATCAATCTCAAAGTATCAAGAAGGTGATAACTGATCAGGTAATTAAGACAGTTAACTAAAGCAAAGATTAATTATCGTAGAAAGATTTTGTGAACAGGTTCTTACATAATTGATACTTTATATAATGATAACTAAAGAGCAAAAATGAACTGTTCCGTAAAATGGTAAATTGTTGACGGTAATTAGAGAGAGTAGGGGGAGAGAAAGATGGTTAAGTCTGTAATAATAATAATAATAATAATAATAATAATAATAATAATAATAATAATAATAGAGCTATTAAAATATTAGTTATAGTGAATTGTGTGGTGGATGAAATGAAGAGTCTTGTTGTAATAAATGAGCTATACAGATGGCCAAGGCAAAGAAAGAGGCTGTACGAATCTCTTCTGAACACACAGACTTGGCTTGTGTAGGTGGATTCCTATGGCTTCTGTTGTATGTAAAAGACGAACTCATAGAGGCTGGGTGAGGTGAGAAGGAATGTGATAAATAACTTTAAAGGCATTATGAATGTTAACTCGGTGGCCGGTGTCAATCAGATGAGAGAGTATTGAGCTTCGTGTCAGTCTGGTTTCCCGCTTACTTAGCCATGAAGGATGATGTAAAAACCTGTTCACAAAATCTTTCTACGATAATTAATCTTTGCTTTAGTTAACTGTCTTAATCACCTGATCAATTATCACCTTCTTGATACTTTGAGATTGATAACCTTTCATTGAACAACTCTCACCACTAGATTGGTATGTAATTCTACGTTTGAAAATGCTGTGTTAGTGTAGAGCCATTGATGAGGAACTAATTGAAAAGAAATATTTCTTCACTCACATTGTTTGTTTTACTAAATGTCTAAATGGGAATTTTCGCATTTACTGAAGTATAAAGAGGTTTCAAAAAGGCTGAGGATTATCAAACTAATACATGGTGCCAATTCATAAGTTTACTCTCAACCTAGATATATCCGTGTAACTTATCCCGTTTCCCGACTTTCTCTGCTTATGGTATTGAAAAGTATAACAACTTAAATCGAAGATAGCATTTATTGTCTGAAGACTTAAAATGTTCTCATGAAAACATGCCTCTTAAACTGGAAGTGAGATTCGAAACAATGATAGATTGTTATTCATCGAAGACTGACATCAGTTGGAGGAACAAAGGAAACCTGGGAGCACTGGACAGCTGTTTCGTCCTAGTATGGGACTCCTCAGCAGTGCGCACCCACGACCCCACCAGCAGGGATCGAACCCGCGACCTTCAGATTCCGCGACCAGCACTTTACCATTGAGCCACTGGGTCAGAATCCAATGCTCCATATTTCCAACTTCTGTTAGCTCATGATATAGCGCAAACCGCCACCCAATGTCATCGTTGAGTATTTGTCCTCACGGCCATCAGGCTTTGACTCCACCGGTCACGACTTGTCATTGGAACTTCGGGAATACTTCTCGAAGCTAGTCACCAACGAGCACTAGTTCACTAGTTTCCTTTGTTCCTCCAACTGATGTCAGTCTTCGATGAATAACAACTTGAAATATTTCCAAATCTCCACAACTCCCCTCAAAATTTAATGATAGATTGTTCAAGTGTCAAATGTTTAGCTAACTCTGAGTTACAATTCATTGTCTAATCTGTTTATTTATACATAATTACTTAAGTGAATTTCTTGTATTTTTCTTATCGATTTCAGGTGTTATCAGTTCAAATCTAGAAACATTTGTACCGACAATTAATTTAACAACAAGTAGTAATTCATTCAACTGTTATATACCATCCACTCATCCAACGTTAATGTCAGATGAAGTTATACGTGAAGTGGAAAATTTGTTTGATTTCACTTCTTTTACATCATCATCTACTGCTGTAGGAACACTTCATAATGATGACTGTGGATCTAGTGTAGCACTTTGCAATTCAGGTATGAATTTTACTTATTTTATTAAAATCTATGTATTGTATATGGGTGTATATGTAAATTTTTTACTGAAGGTTTATATAATCTAGTAAGTGTTGTCTTGTAATCTATCTGTTTTCAACCGATACCTACGATATGATTTAGTTTGTTGACAACCTCACCTTTTTTTAGGAAGTTACATCTTCCGTATCAGTCTGCTTGCCAAAAAAGATGCCAGTGCAAATACATGACTCCTATCTCATCATTTTAAAACATATATTATCCCAAACACCGGTGAGATATTTGATTACACACTAAAAGGTGAGTACGATACAAGGTAGTAGTAGTAGTAGTAGTAGTACCTTTACTCCTACTGCACAGTTGTTAGATACAACCGTTATGCATGAGTGGGATGATTACAATGTTGCATGTTTTCCACCACTGGTATCGTGACATGAAATATTGACTAAAGTATAATTTGGTTGAAAGGAAATCGTTTTTAAGCCATAACTCTTTATCTAGATTATGTAAGAGAATGTAATCTGTCTGGCTTATGACCTGAAGATGTTAGGAACCAGTGATTGAAGACCCACTGTGGTATGGTTTACAATTGATTGTAGTAACTAGGTTAAATTCACTCTTTCACTTCTCCAACACTGAACATGCAGTTAATCATTATTTATTTACTGTCTCGTCAGGTCAGTGTTATTGAGTTTTCCTCTGTTTTTTTTGAAGTTTAGTGGTTTAAACCACTGGACATTCTTCAGGACTCCACGTTTGTATATCTGCTATTGTCGGTTTGTTTGAAACACTTTCGTCAAGGATACCCACTGTCTCCACTTTTATTCATTTTCATCACAGATACTCTTATGGAGATCTGCCTCTCGTCACCAGGTTACACAGGCGTTGACCTAATCACAGGAGAATTTTCGTTATACCTAGAATATGCAGATAAGATAGTGAAGACGCTGACAAGATGCAGAGTCTTCTGAACACTTTGAGTGTGAATTTGAAAATATTTGGGATGCTTTTCTCACCACCCAAATGCAAATTTTTGCTCCAGGATTGGTCTTCAGCGGTGCCGTGGCTAACAACAGAAAGTGAGGTGGGTGAGTGTGTTGACCACTTCACTTACCTGGGAAGTAGGATCAGCCCTGGTGGGTCGGTCAGTCGCCGATGAAATCTCTGCACGGATACAAAAGGCTCGATTGGCTTTTGCCAATTTACGCCACCTATGGCGCCGCCGTGATATCCGTTTGTCTATTGAGGGTCGCGTGTACTGCACAGCAGTCCGGTATGTTCTACTTTATGGCTGTGAAACATGGCCATTGAAAGTGGAAGATGTGAGAAGACTTCAGGTGTTTGATCACCGTTGCCTTCGTAATATAGGACTTACTCCGTGGTGTCACCACGTGAGTAATGCAGAAGTCAGGTGTAGGGTTTTAGGGAGTAGAGGTAAGTCAGTTGACGAGGTTATGAACCTTCATCGATTGAGATGGTTGGGACACGTGTTACGTGTATGCCTAGTCACCGATTGCCTCGTCACACAATGTTGACCGAAGTAAGTGCAGGCTGGAAGAAGGCCCGAGGAGGCCAGACTAAAACATGGCACCAATGTATGAAGTCTCTGACTGTTGGTTTAAGCCATGTAGGACGATGCAGACTAGTTGGTTGGGGTCTGCGGGACAAGAGGAACCAGTGGTTGGAGACTCTACGGGGGTGGGATATGGCTGAGAACCGATGTAAGTGGCGCAGATGTATACACACATTATCCTCATGTTGACGACGCTATACCGAATCTCACCATTTTGTCATTCCTCTTTTCTTTCTTCTCGTACTTTATATTTCTTTTGACTGCATTCTCTTATCTTCATCCTTCACCTCACTACCTTTTACTTGATGTGCTGATATGAGGTGTGGCAAGTTGGACCGTTACGCAGTAATGCTTGGTCCTATGTTGATATTGATTGATTGATGTTGAACTGAATTTATTCTGTACGAATCTTGACAACCAATACGTTTTATTTTTTCTTCTAAATGTATACAGATTCTTAACTCTGTTTGTAATTTAAAATAATTATTTAATTTATGACTATGTTATTTCGAAATGTCCTCGGTTTTAAATTTATTATGAAGTAAGGTGTGATCTCCGAACTTGGTTTTCACGACAAATTGCAGTAAACTTATTCATTACTCATGGAATAAACTGATTGGTTGCGTTATTATTATTTTTTACATCAACCACTGTTCCGAGACTGCAATACTTATCCAGTTGAGGTGCGAAATTATGAAAGGACTTTGATACTAAAGATTTGAACTGTACAACTAAACTGTTAGGTTTAATGTATATCACATTGAAGACAGTTATCAGAATGCCTAAGACCACCTACATTTCATACTTGTTGGTATTCATTACGAACATCTAAATAACTTAGTGTTGTAAGTGTAACCTAAGTAGGCCTGAATATATTCCATAAAGATGTCCAGTTTAAATGCCACTAAATTCAGTCAGTTCAAATGACAACACTCCATAAACCCTTACACAGTTGCGTGAGTTCCACTGGAGAGCTGTGATAAGCATTATATACTTGCCCGGTACTTCTTTCACAGTCAGACACTACCACAACACCTCACGGTTGACAGAGCTACCTTCAGGTCAACAAATATTGCAAGTGTCAACTACTGGTCGATAGGTATGCCTGTCTTCCAAAACTTGTTGGAGGACTAAATTCTGATAGACGCACCCTAATCTAGGTCTGAAACCTTCCTAGTTTTCTCGAGTTTGCTGTTCTCGAGCTCCAGTTGAGCATCAGATAACTATGGGTCCTAGGATCTTGGACATGATATTAGTCAAACTGATTTCCGTGTGGTTGTCATAAGACTTCTTTCCCTTCTTATAGACTTGGATGATCAGAGAATTAGACCAGTTTGACGAGACTACTTCTGATTCCCATACACACTGCCTACTTCTCCGTCACTTAAATTAGCGGTTTCTTACCTCAATACTTGAGAACTTCAGGTAGCGAACTGTCAGATCCAGCTGCTTTGCATCGTTTAAAGTTCGGTACATCTTTCTCAACTTCAAGGAGAGTTAGGTGACTGATATCTACGTCTCATTCAGGTTCAAGCTGGTTGTTGGGCAACTGAAACGAACCGAGCTCAAAAGAAGCGATAAACAGTGTTTTAATGAAATAGTAATTGCGATTAGTGAACGCTATTTTCACTACTGTCCTATTGGTTAATGTTCAGGCAGCGTTATTAGTTGTTCAAGGTTATTTGCTTGTTCGTTGATTGCGGCCGCTATTCATTTCATACACCTTTTCTTGAAGGGTACGTTTGTAGCATAAATATCACTTATCCACCTATAGAAGCGAAATAACCGAAATATACATGTTTGGATGACTAGTACACTGACTGAATTCAATAAGTTTAATTTATTCCCTCCTTCTTTTTTTATTATGTATAATTTTAGATGATGCCAATTCACCGTCTCGTACTGGAAGTCTTCAAAGAGGTTATCGAATGAATTCACTCACTGGCAAAAGTAACAGAGATTCTATTCTATCGAATGCCAGTATGGGAAGCTTACCTGGTACACTTGTTACAACTGATTTGCCGAGGATTTTGAACACTACAACGCCTCAAATACGTGCGAATTCACTTGATCGACCTGACCAGTTAGGAAACCGAAATGAACATGGATTAGGCCTACACCACAATACAGCATCAAAATTGCTACCATTCACTTCATTCTTCAATACTCTTTATGTATGCCCGAAATCTCTGAATATGTCGGTGAAACATAACTTTCCAAGGGTAAGGCGTTTTTTTTTTACCAAGGACTTTTGTTAACTTCAGTTGTTGATCCATTGAAGTGGAATAGAAACAGCTTAATCTGTGATCAAGGCCAGTTTATCGCTATACATTTAAATATCCTGGCGAGACGTTTGCGCTCTTCCGTTCGCCCACATACTTTAGTTTCATTTTCCATACAGAGTTGCTGAGACGTATTTTGTAGCTTATGTGTTACATCGGTTAGATATGAATGATAGCGTAGCTGCACGCTTGAGTGAAAGTAACAATCAGACACCTTTCTGTTAGTCACACGATCAGATGACGTACTCTCGCTTTTTCAGGCGTGGAAGGGAGATTGGTTAGACAGCGCTAAAGATTATTATTGGGTAAACTAACCATATCTTCTTCTTCAATCATACTTGGACACAGTTACGTGTACTACAGACTAAAAGCTATATTAACTTGCAAGAGTTTCAGTTCAAAATATGACATGGAGAATACTGACAAAAATATTCAGATCCAAACTAAATAATCAGATAATAAGGGGCGCAAACGTATGTGCATAGAGAGTATAAAGTAGGTTTCGTTACTATTTAACATCAGTTGGAGAAATATTAAGAAAATGAGACCACTGGACGTCTGTTTCCTTCTAGTTTGTATTTCTTCAATCAATTTCAAGTCACTTCGCCGGATTTCTACAATATATCGAGAATCCATCTATTGTGCCGTATGTCCTTTGTTCGTGAGGTTTTTTTCCACTAGATTTGTCTTTGGATGAAGTAGGTTTGACTTCGCTCTGGAAATATTTCTTAGAGAAGTCATGTATACAGGCATCCTAGGTGGACGACTAGTCAGGAAACACCTTACTCCGGCTCTCTAAAAGAACAATAGTGTTATGCAAGATTATTTAGTTTACTCATCAATTCCTAATTTTACCATTGATGATAGTCTTCAGACAGTTTTGTTAAAAGTGGGTGATAATGGCGTTGGTCTGTAAACCAGAAAACTTCTCTTCAATCCATATTATGCGGCATAATATGCGATCTGCCTATGATATGATGATGATCGGTGTGCAGTATCTGTCTTGTATCATGGAAATTGACAGTACTTTCACAAGATTCATGAAGGGCATGTTCCTGTGATTGCTTACCTTTAATAATGGAATTTGAAAATGCAGAGTAGAAGATTTCTCTTTGTATAGCGAAATTCACTGCGTGAAATTTTTCTGTGCTCTATTAGCTTCCGAGTACAACACTTCGCTGTAAAAGGTTCTTTTGTACGCTTCACTATCCATATCACTACTAGATAGTTCTGTTTCATGAGTTGGATGTATTTGTACCCCAGTTTTAGTCAGAAACAAAGGAAAAAATCAATGTAGAAACTGGCACACGAGTGCATCGATTTAATTTGCCACATTTCACAGCAGTACACAAAGATAGATGGATATAATAAGAGTGATTTCAAAGTAGACAAAGTTCCTTGAGTAGATAAACAATTTGAAGACTAAAGGTAGTTCGAATACCAAACGTTGCTCAAATGGTGATTCCGCCAAACACGAGTAATGCTACGAAGACACCTGTGATCAAAATCCTGTGACCACTTCACTTCTCCCATTTTTAAACGTCCGTGTCTCACAGCCGCATAACTGAACAGAATAGGCTACAGTGCAGTTTACTTGTCGTATGAGAGGTAGTCGGACATCTTGGCACTAAGCGCCAGAGATGACGCAGATTGGAAAATGTCAAATGAAATTCGGGCCGATGGATTTCCCCAAGCAAGTAAGGTGGTGGACACACTCAATCACTTCACTCCCTATCATTAAACTGGGAGTAGTTTGACACCGATTGTGGAGCATCATCTTGCACATGACATTTGCTAAACGCATACCAAACATACGTAGATTGTTGCTCGATCCGTCCAAATGACCCTGTATTTTATCAGTATCTTCACCTAGCCGGGCAATATCGTCAGTTTTAGTGTTCTAACGTTAACCATCTGTCATATACAGCATCGGAGAATGTAAACCACGTGATTGTAGCCTATTTGGTGGCTAGCAGTGGTATCCGGGACACGCTTTTCCTCCTATTTGGGACTCTTCAGTTGGATGTACCTGAAACCCAGTGGCCTAGTGAATAAATCTTTGGCATTTGAAGCTATATGTACTGGGTTCGTGTCTCAATAGGTACAACACTCACTGGGGTGAAGGTAGGTACATGCAGTTGACGAGTTCCACGTAGGACGAAACGTGCGTTCTGAATCCCATCGCTAGTCACTAAGTAGACTAAAATGTATTGAATACCTAGACAGTATACAGGCATCTGCGTAGGAGATTGTTTCAATCGAACTACCAAGTGTGAAACACTTGTTTAGTTCAACCATCTTCATTCATTTAGAATATCACAGAGGAATTAATGAATAAGGATTAATATGTATGCCATTTTTATTGCATACTAATTCTCTTTCCCTCTCTAAATGTCAGTTCATACCAAATTTTGTCTTTGTGAATGCTTACTGATTTGTGGATTTATTCATTTATTTCCTATTGTATATATACTACTTGTTTGATAATGTCTTCAACTAGTTAACTGTTGTATAGTTTATTTCTTTGTTCTTTATCGTTTAACTTTAAATGCATCATTGACCTTCCTTTCATCTCTTACTGATTTCTCTCTTTCTTTCCTTCTCGCTTTTATTCAGTTTATTCGCTTTATTTCTTGTTTCATAGTGTGGTGTTAATATTTAGAGGGTAAAAGGTTTCTTGATTTCAGAATTCAGTGGTTTTCTACCTCTTCTTTCATCAAATTCTCTTGCTATTCCAGCTTTTCGGATATCTCTTTGTGTCGGGAATAGATTAATACTGACAACTATATTATCCAAATATCACATTCATATGTGTAGCCTTGTTGCATGTTCCATGCCTTGTCAACTGTTGGTAAGTAGTAGAAGATATATATGCTATATCGATTAAATTCATAGCAGTTCAACCCAGTAGCGTAGTGTAAAATTGTGTATCAGCCTGTAAGCTATATCGTATATATATATATATATATATATATATATATATATATATATATATATATATATATATATATATATATATATATATATATATATGAAAGAGAGTTAATGGTACTATCCTGGTCAAAAAAGACTAGGCGAAGTTTGAACTACGTGACCTAGTAACTGGTAATCAGAAGTCAGTAACCAACTCCCCCCTCCATCAAGTCCATGATATTGTTGAGATCTAAACTTGGGTCGTTCACCTGACGTTAACTAAAGGTCAACAAAGTTGTTATTTTGTTCAGCCATTTTAATGGTTTTATTCATTGATTATCAGCTGAATTCACTTTCGACGTAACAATTATGAATAGTACCAGGAACGCGTATAGATGGTTATTTTGGAATTATTTTTAGTGACATGTACTCTAATTATCTGTAGATTTTTCTATTTCTACTGCTAACTGGATCAGACTAAAAAATGCTTATGAAGGATTGGTTTCATTCGAAAAACGACCTTGATTGAATACACTTTCATGGTCATTGGTACTCATATACTTAGTGTATTTGCCAACCCAATGAAATTAATGTTTCCTCCGAGAATCGAAACACTTCAACACCTCACTTACAGGCAAAGCCTTGGAAGTATTTGGACGGTAAATAACCTCCTGTTGGATCATCTGTATGCACTAAAGTACAACAGTCTGCTTATTATGATTATCAGAAGTGTTCCTCTACTTAGCATTTTTGTTTTCTGATATACTTTAAAGGTGTATTTGTTGAAATACATCGATATTTTTCTCTATGCCACTAAATTTCATTGATTAATAGCCAACGAAATCAATTTTTGGTATCATATGACTAGAGCAAATATCACTCATATGTGTTAAACTAGAATTATGACTAACGCGCTTGACACTGGACAATAGATTTTTAGGAACTACAGTTATATACTGGTTTACTCTCAGGCTTAGTACAATTTGTTTTGTTATTTGAAACTAGTTGAACACCTTCATATATCAGAACGAGGTGACTGAGACATATGTTAGGCATGCTGAGCTACGCCTTACCTGAATGTGCAACGCTAAGAGAAGTTGGAATAAGGCTAAGGGTGGCCAGACCGATTTGTGACACCAGTTAGTGCATGAAGTCCTTGACTTTTGGTCTAAGGCGTGTTGGGAGATATTGACTACTTGACTGGGTTCCTCGAGAGGATAGGAATCAGTGGTTGAGAAATTTTGGTGACGTAGGTGAGAATTGGTCACAATGACAGAGATGCATTCACTCTTTGACGTTTTCTAAAGCGTGAACATTTTCACCAACCCCGATTTCGAAATTTATTTTCTTCACGTACAGCCACGTCTGTGCCGGCTGTAGTTGAAACAGTGCTGCCTAGACTGAGTAGGTGAAGGAGGCTACTTCCTTTGAGTTTCTGCCGCTGATGGTGATCGGAGCTTGTTGTTGTTGGTGGTGGCGTTGGCGTTGGTTGGGTATCTTCATCACCTCTGTCTTCTCTACGTTCACTTGAAGTCCCGTCTTCCCTCGCTCCCTTGCCTTTTCTGTCAACTTGTTAGTTTTTGCCTGTAGATCTTCGAGTTTGTGTGACATTAGATAGAAGTCATCGGCGAAATCCAAATGTTCTAGAATCTTTTTCCCGGTCCAGCGTATCCCCCTCTCCTTGTTCCTCACTGTTTGTTGCATGATCCAGTCGACCACAATCAGGAATATCATGGGTTATAGTAGACAGCCTTGTTTTACTCCTGTCTTCACTTCAGTGGCATCACTGAGCTTCCCATTGTGTTGTGAATTACTTGTCATATGGCGTCTTCATCTAGTTGTTGAATGAGATTGACAAAGGTTTGTGGTACTAAATCCGTAGTGTTGGAGGAGATGCGAAATTACTTGTCGGTCGACGCTGTGGAAGACGTTTTCGAAGTCGATGAAGTTGAGGTAGAGTGTTGACTACCATTGTATGCTTTGTTCTATGACGATGCGTAGTGTAGCGTTGCAATTCGGTCCGCATATGATTTGTACTTTCTGAAGCCAGCCAGCCTGTTCCGGTCGTAATTTTGAATCCAGCGTATCCTTTAGTCTCTCTAGGATGATGTGGCTCAATATTTTGCTTGGGGTGGACAGGAGCGTGATTCCGCGCCAGTTCTTGCAAACACTGAGGTCTCCCTTCTTCGGTAGTTTGACAGGATAGCCCTTCTTTTCATCGGTAGGCAGGTACCTTTCCTTCCTTCGTTTCAGACCTTCCGCAATAGTGGTGTGAACATGTCCGTTGTTGTCCCTGCGTCTGCTCTCAGTGCTTCTGGCGGGATCCCATCTAGTCCTCCTAATTTCCCGCATTTCAGCAGCTTTATAGCGTTCAGGTCTTCGACTTTCGTCGGAGGGCTTATGTTCACTTGTAGTTCTGTGGCTGCAGGTATTATTTCTGGACGAGTTGCATGTAGTGGTCTATTCTAGAGCTTTTTGAAGTGGTCAGCATATCGTTTCCTTTGTTTCTGTTCTTTGGTAATTATATTTCCTTCATCATCTTTTATTGTTTTCCCCGTGTTGATCTCTTCCATAACGGGTAGTAACCTGGTTATTTGATACAATGTTGTCAGATCTCTCCTACCTGCAGCCTGTTCTGCTTCACTTGCCAGTGTGTCGTGAAAGCGTCTTTTGTCTTTGCGTGTACTCTTCTTCACTTCTTTGTCCAGTGTATTGTTTTATACATTGTACTCAGTTCCTTTTGTCGTTGAGCATCCTTGCACTGGCTTATCTTCTGCTTCACCATCCTCCTCTCCTCTATCAGCTTTCATGTGTCTGTCGAGATTCATTCCTTGTCTTTTTTCTTTTTACTTCCTAATACGGTTATGCAGGTTTCTTTCCACATACTTTTCAAAGAGTTCCAGTGCTCATCCACTTACGTGAGCATTTACGTAAAGTTTATTTCTCTGCTTACATGTTAAATTGTTATCGTCTTATTTGCATTCAATCTATTTAGGCGCGTAATCTGTCGTGTTTTATCGAACTACGCTCGAATGATACTCTGGATAGCTCAGCTGCATTAAAGGTTAGTTGAAGGTTGGTGGACATACACTATTTTTAGTTGGTAATATTTTATCTTATAGCTTCGAGTTTTCGTTTCAAATAGCTGTCATCAGTCGAATCGTTGAAAATGCTAAGAAGAAACTGGTGTTCAATACTTTTCAACTTTTGATGTTTTTTTTTCAACCAATGACAGTTTGAGATGAAAATTAATCTTCCTCATCACTTTCTCCTCGAAGTGTATGCAACAAAAAGTAGTGATAGTATGTCCAGAAGATGTCTTGAATAAACTATGCAGTAGGGTTATGTAGTTGTTATACAGCGATTCACTTCTATATTGTAATTATTGCTAAATAGACGCGCTAAATGTGTTCCTTGACTAATTACTTGAACTGATTGATGACTGAATAATGTGTGATATCCTATTTGTCAGTATATGAGAGGTAACAGTCCTGACTGTAGTAGTAATAGTAGTGTAGATCAGTGCAATAAATATTATTAGAAATATATATGAACTTTACAACACATATCAGCATACAACACGTATATATTTACTTCATTTGTTAAGAATATTGTTGCTTCCCAAATGTTAATCAATTTTAATGATAAACAAATTTCTTGTTGATTAATTCAACAGTCACATCTGTCTGCCGTATAGTTTTGTGAATTTATTATACACAACTTCTGAATCTATGATAAGACGGGTGGCTTGGAAAAAGTTTAGAAAGAGGTAATAAAATCCCCACTTGTCTTCAAAATGTCGACAGTTATAAAGTAATAAGAAAACTATCAAGGAAATGTACTTTATCCAGTTATGTTTCATCGGTTTCATTGATAAGTCTATAAATCCTCTAACTCTTGTATGAGAAGGTATAAACTGTCTGATTGAAGTCTTTAAGATAATAGAACGAACATGGCTGAAAATCGGTCATAATGGTATAAATCGATTCACTCTTTGACGTTTTCCAAAGCTTAAATATTTTAATTCACCTTACTTTTCATTGCATATACCTTTGTTTATTTTGACTCCGAAATTTGTTAGTCAACCAGTTTCATTTGCCAATATTGAATTAGGTATATATCCTTATTGTTTTGTATTACCTAACTTTCTATTAATATAGTTTCCATCGGATCAATTCTTTTTGTTTTTATTCTGTGGTATTTTTCAGTTATTTATGCCCAGACAAACAATAATAATAATGATGATAATAATAATAATTGTGGAATAATCGATCAACTGAAGTGTACACATAACTGTATAGTGTTTATTAGTGTATATTCTGTTGTCTACTGAATATTTTGACATGATACACGGACGTTTTTTTTTTACCTTATGTTTAATTCTTAACCCTAATCCTTGTTTTCATAATGTCTGTTTAAACAAATCAATAAACAGACGAGCACAGATAACACCATGTATACAACTGCGATTACCTTAATTAGTTAGCTTTAGCCGTATATTGTGAAAGTATCAAGTTATTAACGTAGATTTGTAAGTACAATAAATCCCCAGCTATAATCGATTTATTCCGATAGTTTTTTTTAAAAAAACTTCTTTGAAGGATCTAGAAAATAATGTCGCACATCATAAATGAATAAATAGGAAATATGACCCATTATCGATTGCTGGGTTATAAATTCATCCATTTCTTGCCTTCATGTTACATGACATTTCTTATTTTTTGGCATTCTATAACTTTTGTTGATATCATTTTGACTCTTTTGTTTTACATATTGTTTCCTTTTTTCTTCGCGTAGCAAATCAGACTGTTGTGTTCTGTAGTAATAATAATAAGCCTCATGTTGATATCGGTTACCTAAAAGGCAGTCTAGATAAAGCTGTCAATCTTAGTTATTTTTAATTTCGGCGCCTGTCTTTATGGTGTATCCTGAAGCTCATAGTGTCTCTCAGATCTAAACTGTTACCCTCTTGTTTAGTGGGCCTGTTAAGGGGCTACTCGGGATGTGAATATATGCCTCATCCATAATATTTTTGATCCATGGGGTCATCATCATCATCAAAATCAGCATAGGACCAGGTATTACTACGTAATGGTCCAAGTTATCATACCTCATATCAGCACATCAAGCAACAAGTCAATGAAATGGTAGATGGAGAAGGAAAGAAAAATCGTTCAAAGTAAGGGGAGAGTAGTAAAAGAGGGGCAGGAGAAATGAAAAATTATTAGACTAAGTAAGGCGGTTAAGATGAGGATAATGTGTGTACGCATCTGCCCCACTGGCATCGGTTCTGAGCGATATCACCTGATGTCTCCAACCACGGGTTCCTCTTGTCCCGCGAATCAGAACCGGCTAGTCTGCATTGACCTACATGGCTGAAACCATCATTCAAGGACTTCATGTGTTGGTACCATGTTTTGGTCTAGCCGTCTGAAGCCTTTTAATTTGGGATGAGACGGATATGCTTGAGCATTGTATTAATGAACAACAAATTTAGGTTAAAAATCCCTACTGATTGCTTCGAAATATGTGAAATTAGGGCACCAGTGTTTTGATCCACCAAAAATCCTATTGGATACTCATTTTTCCGGTTAACTTCTATTCGATATTTCAACTCTGCCTATTCCTGTTGCTGTTAATTTACTTATTTACCATGATCTTTTTGTCAAGGTTTTCTATACTCGTCCAAGTGTACGTCAATCAATATTCGACTCATGGTTTAATACATCTGTTATGTATCATGATACCTCTCCAGATTTTGGTGAACAGGTATGTTGGTTCTTTTTCTTCTTGGAATAATGTGGGTTTTTTTTTATACATTTTATGTTCAGTTTAGTGCAATACGCAATGATGTAAAATCTTGATGAAGTTAAATAAGATTTTGGATATTTTCGACTTTTTTTCAGCTTCATTTAGTATTGATTTCAGTCTTTGCCCATCGGTTGTAGGTGTCTCTCAATCGATTCAATGGGAGTGTAGAGATTTCGTGATAGATTGGATAAACATAAAGTATCATGCGTAGCTTGCAATCGATAGGATTAGCATTCATTCTATAATCTCACCTCTTCTCTTTTAATGGATATAAATCACTGGGTTACAAAAGAGAGAAATAAAAGAGTAGGAGATACAAGTCTGAAGATTTGGGAAGTTTGAAGGATTTTCTTTCTTCGAACTGCCATATCTTCGTCTGATTAATTAATATTGGCCTTGATAGATTAAAGTACACTTAAAGTTACCTATCTGTTTTACTGTGTTTATACTGAATGATGATTGAAGGTAAAATGAAAATCTAGGCCGCGGTAGGATTCGAATCAGCAACCTGACTCGAATGAACTTATGGCTCAATTGTATAGGAGAGGACTATCAACTAGTGGGTCACGGGTTCGAACCTTGCCCCACTTACCGAAGTTTGGACAGCCAGGTAGTATCATTAGCCCTCACACAATTGGTGTGGTTCATTGTCTACTGAACGAATGAGCACACAAATTGTTACAGACTATGTATTTAAAATAACCATGCAAATGTCTAACCAATATGCCTTAAGTTTCGAATACACGTGTACTCTGAGCTTAAGTTGTTACTGGCAGAACTTCCAATGATATTCCAGTCGTTGTTGTCATTTCAACTCTACAAGAATTCCATACTAACTAGTCGCTGGGTAGTAACTGAGGTGGTCGTTAAGTGTTGATCAAACCATTTTGATATGGTATTAATCTAAGAGATGTGATGTTGTGGTGTATTCCTCTCCTGTTTTTTTTTTTACTTTTCTAACTCATAGCTTAGTGAGTGTTGGCCAATATGTGTATCGTTGCCCGGTTATATTCAAATATGCAAATCTTTATCATTGTCTCAGTTACAAATGTTTGTACTAGTTACAGTTGTCAGCCCCTTTGTCTGCCAACTGCATATTCATTTACTAGCTGTTTAACTCTACACCTATCCTAGTTGACCTTCACTTCTGGGCCGGCCAAGTGTAACATCTGCATAATACTAGCGATGTAGACTGATGACCTGGTTTTGATGACAGTCAGTTATGTAAATGGCTAAGTGACTAGTTAAAAACTTACGTCACAACGTTTATAAATTTATAGATGTTTATTTCATATTCAATATTATGAATATGGCATGGGTTAGAAAGAAGTGACTACTTCTCAATATCAGAAATATGATCAACTGAAACTTTGATTTTTCAAGTGATATACATTATCTTTGTGTTTCTCTTCATTTCCTACTTCATTAAATGAAATACTCATCAACAGTTTTGTTCATTTTTAGCCATGAACAAGTTTATTAACATTTCTTAATCCCTCTCTTTCTCTCTTACATATATACAGACGAGATAATAGTTAAGGTAAAGGGAATCAGTGTTTTTCTAACCATGAAACTCATCGGTTTGTTTAATTTTGGGGGTTTGTGGGGATTTATTGGTTTTTCAATTTGGTATTCATCATGGACTGACATCAATTCAAGGAACATTGGAAACCTGGAAACATTGGACAGTTGTTTCGTCATAGTATAGGACTTCTAAGCAATGCTCACCTATGACCCCACTCCCCAGGGATCGAACCCAGGACCTTCAGGTTCCGTGACCAGCACGTTATCACTGTGCCACTCACTGGATCGGAATCCAATGGTCCATATTTCCAACTTCTGTAAGTCCACTATATAAGACAACCATCATCCAATGTCATCGTTGAGTATTACTCTTCACGTCCACCAGGTTTGCCTCACCTGTTACAACTTCTCATTCGAACTTCAGGAATCATCTCACAAATCTAGTCACCAATGAGCACTTGATCAAAATTAGTTTGGGGGTTTGTGGGAATTTAGCGATTTTTCAAATTGGTATTCATCATGGACTAGCGGCTGTGAGGAAAAATACTCAATGATGACACTGGATAATGGTCGCACTATGTTGTGAACTAACAGAAGTTGAAAATATGGACCATTGGATTCCAACCCAATAACTCAATGGTAACATGCTGGCCACGAAACCTGAAGGTCGGGTGCAGAGTCATGAGGGTGCACTGCCGAAGAGTCCCATACTGCGACGGAACAGCTTTCCAATGCTCCCAGGTTTCCAATGTTCCTCCAACTGATGTCGGTTCATAATGAATACCAACTTGAAAAATTCATTGATTTGTATTGAATGCGGATATTATGTCTTTCTGTCTCCATGCATAGTAGTAATACCCCATAGAATAGCGTACTATTTCAACTTTATCTGGCTTACCAACACTACATACACAATATATCCATGATAAATTTGTGCACTGTGGAGAGAATCATCATTGTTTGTAAATATTCATTACTATGTACACAAATCGAAAAAATCAAAATGAAATGAAAAAAGAATATTGATTGTCAAGGGATGAGTGGCTATGTAGTAGTGTGTCTAATGTATATATATATATATATATATATATATATATATATATATATATATATATATATATATATATAAGGGAATAGAAGTAAAGGATGCCGGGACGGGGCAGTTGCTGAAGAAATTCGAGCTCGAATATGAAAGCCCCTTTTCATGTTATCCCTGGCACCGATTGGAGAGATATCCGACTACCTGTTATTAAAGGACGAGCATACTGCGCTGCAGTTCTCTCTGTCGTCTTATATGGCTATGAGATATGACCAGTGAAGTTAAAGATATGAAGAGATTATAAGTTTTGGAACTTAGATATCTTCTCACCTTTGCTCGCAAGTCAGTCGACGAGTTTGTGAACTCCCACCGACTGAGGTGGTCTGGACTTATGTGTTGTGCATGCTGAGTCACTCCATACCTTGACTAGCAGTGCTAGCAGAACTAAGGCTTGGTTGGGAGAAGGCCGAGAATAGCCATATATGGTATCAGTCTAGGAAGTCTGTGATTGTTGTTCTGATCTGTGTAGGGTGGCCTCGACTGCCTGGTTGGTGTCCTTGAGATAGAAGAAACCAATGGTTGAAGACACTTGCTGATATATCTGTAAATCATTCATAATGCCACAGATACATTCACTTTCTGGTGTCTTCTAAAGTCTGGACATTTTCACCAACCCGTTGGTTATACAGTTCAAACTAAACAGGACAAAGAATCTATCGGTTGATATCAAACCCTAATTCATTGACGTTTGAGGATATCTTCTTTTTCCTCTTGCCCCAAAAGGGCTGGCATAACATGTGGTCTAATGAGTACTCATGAAATAGTCTAGCAATGGTGATTTTGTTTGCTGTTTCTATGACAAGGTTTTATTTTTCACTATCTGGATTAAGGACTTAAACAAGACATTGAAACGCAAAAGGAGCGTTACTAATTAATCACTATCCTCTACAGTTTATTATGAAATTTGTACGAACATTTGAGACGAAATAATAAGTTATAATAGCGACAACACGAGTAGAAAATAGGTCAAAGCCTTTATTGTTGTACTATATAAACAAGGAACATCAGAAAGTTTACGTAGGATTATCAACAAGGCTGGAATTGGAATGGCATTTAAACCTAAAAACTCACTCAGAGATAAGCTTTTTCGGCTTAAAGATTCGAAAGGCAAGGTCAAGTAAATAGGTTAAACTGGCCGATCGGAGTCAGTTGGATTATCAAAGCATAGAAATTTAGCCAAATGTAGAATGAGAGACTCCATTAGCATCAATGATGTCGAAAAAACTCGGCGATTACAATGCATGTATTAACACACAATCACACAGTAGAGTGAGATAAAGCCGGATGAACACCCAACACACGTAATAAGAATGATGAAACATCTATACCAGAAATATGGGAAAATTCTCTACCAATGAAAACAAATTATATGAGGTGACAGAACTGCAAAAATCAGATGTCGAAAGTAGTGTGATTACATTGATGTGACTATGAGGAATAATTTATGCTCAAAACGTCATTATGTAGATAATATTATATCACTGTGTGTTATAAATCAAATAGAAGAATCTAATATGAAATTACATTCTACCACAGTGCCCAAGTTTAACACCTATGTTAACTAGTCTATCAGGTCTGATGCTGCTTTCTGGATTCAGTGAATTAGTTCACGCACTCAATCACTTCACTGTCTTTTTTCAAACGAGGTATCACTACATCAATATGCTTTTATAAAAGGTTTCGCAATATGTTACAAACGCCTTAGGAGTTTTATTGAATGTCCTTAGAAGACTGTATCTGCGTACTTATCCACTAGATCGAAGGTATACTTCATAACCGTTTACTTCATTCTAATCTAAAGCCATGAACCGCGACCATTTAAGTTAGTCAATGCAACGGTGTTTTACGCATTTGACCAGATGTGTATTTAGTATTATTCATTTGAAACTTAAAGAATTCGAACCGATGGATGAGGTTGCGGGTTGATTAAAACATGTGCTATGCATGCTAACGCATATCTGACTGCTGTATACAACATCGTTGACTGAAGTGGAATTAAATTGACTGAAAGTTAATAGTGACCAGATAAAAACGTGACGAGAACACATTAGATTACTCACTTTCAGTATGAGTAGTGTAGGTAAGGTAAATATTAAAAAGGGATGGCTGAGAAGCTTCCGTGAAATGATTTAAAATCCATTAAAACTGTCCAAATGTATTCATTATTCATTTTCTACAAATTCTTGAACACTTTTATTCATCTACTTGTTTATTCCCCAGGGCTGAAATCTTTTTCTTAGTTCTAATATCGCACCATTCCTACTATGGATGCCGTTGAGATGTGTGGGAACTTCATGCTAGGTTTTCGCTTTACTAGATCTATTTGCATCTAGTTAGTATTTTCTACATTGGGACTGTGTCGTCTACATGCTTCGGATAGATAGGAGAGTATGTGGAAGAGATTTACATCCAACGTTTTAAGTGAACACTTCTGTAAGGAGTAAGGCCGACTGCGAGTAATGATGAACCTTTTTATGATTGTTTGAGTTGTAGTTTAGAACATAACACCACCAACACCGTCTTCTTCAGCTGCAAATATTCTTGACAATCTGAAAGGGATTCTTTGCATTGTTGATCGAAACCATAGGGTTATTGCTGTACTACCAACGTTTCCTATGTTGTTAGTGTTGATGAATAGATAATCAGTTGAAAAGTGCATACACACTAGTCATATTCTAATAACTTGCGTATCTAAATGATGATCAGGCGTTGCATATGTCTCTGTTTGTCTCGGCTGTGCTTTATTTCAATACTGCTTCTGTTTACCTTTCTCAAGGCGATGGGAATCAATGATTAGAGACCTTTGGTAATATGACTGAAAATCAAAATGCATACACACTTTCTCATCTATGAGATTATGAACGTCAATCTTCATCGATTTATTCTATCTTCTCCTACACAATTTCATTTACTTAACTGTCATTCGCTTTCTCTGTACTTCTTCTTTGCATATTGATATGAAGTATGGTAACTTGAACTGATGACATTTCCTGACATGTTCTACGTTGATATGTTTGCGTGTGTATATATAAAACAAAGTAATTCTACATTTTATGAATGTCCTGTTGAAAAATTCTAAAATAACCACCGACTGACAACAGAAAACCTCAGGGCACTGGACTGATGTTTTGTCCGAAAGATTGAACCCGGAATTGTTTGGTCAAGTGGCGAGCACATTATTATTTATCCACTTTGTTGAAATCAACTGGTCTACTAATTCGTACTTCTGTCTATTCACGATGTGACGTGATCGTTATTGATAAGTATTTGCGTTCAGATCTGAAGTGATTGGCCCCATTTGTTATGGTTTTTCACTAGAACTATGGAAAATTTCTCTCGAAGTTTATAACTGATAAGCATCAAACAGTAATTTGATTCGTGATGTTACAGAATTGATCGACTTCAGTAATTAAATCTTGTATCAGTCAACTTCTTGTATTCTATTTTAAGTATACCAAGTAATAATAATATATGAGTTACTGTACAGTTGAAACTTAACGACGCCTAACTCTTCAATGTTCAAATCTGTTTATCAGTTAGTTTATCTGCTCCTACGGTTGCAGTGAAAAGGCCTAGTTGATGAAGATACCCAACCAACGCCACCAACAACAACAACAAGCTCCAATCACCATCAGCGGCAGAAACTCAAAGGAAGTAGCCTCCTTCACCTACCCAGTCTAGGCAGCACTGTTTCAACTACACTTGGCGGCACAGGCACAGACGAAGACGTCAAAGCCAACCAGCATCGCAAAGACAGCAAGACAGGCGTTCATTAACTTGAAACCAGTGTGGAGATCTACTCCACTGAACTCAGCATGAAGTGTGAACAACATCCAGATTTTCAACACTAACCCAGTCAAGTCAGTGCTTCCATGTAATGGTTCAGAGACTGTGAGCGTTACGAAAGGGATTTCCAACAAACTACACACATTCACCAACACCTGCCGCCAACGCTCACTCGATACTAAAGATCAGATGGATTGCCAGAATAATAAGAATAAGCAACAAGGAATTCTGGCTGGCTGGCTGGCAACGGACCAACCAAGAACCTATCACTCAACAAATATGCATTGGAAGGAAGTGGAGATGGATTGGATTGGGCATACACTGAGAAGGCCAACTGGTGGCATCACGAGTCAGGCCATTCCGTGGAGTGGAACGCAGATGGGAAACGGCGAGTTGGGCGTCCCAGGTGAGGGTGACATGGAGGATATGGTGTGAGGAAGAAATGAGAGGTTATGGGCTGTTGTGGAGCCAGGTTCAAAAGATTGTAGCGAAGAGAGTGCACTGGAGACGTGCTACTGAAGCTCTATGTTCCACTAGGAACCGAATGGATAAATAATAATAATAAATACGGTTGCAATAATTAGTCATCTCATGTTGCCACTATTCATTCAGTGTTGGTCACTTGGACTACCAACAAAAGTCATTAAATCGAAATTTTCCTCGTTTGTGGCATTGACCATTTAGGCTTATATTTTCAGTCTAATTGAATGTTATTCCTTCAAAGGTTTATTCAAGTTTCATTTGTCGTTGTGATCAGTTTTTATTTCTTGAGTGTAAATCTGAACGGAGTCGAAAGTTCGCTTCATGATACGCAAAAATATTCACTTTCACAACTTGATATCAGTATGTATAGATGTTCACTTCCATTGGTTTATCTCTGTCTCTCTCTCATTGTTTTTTCTTTTATTCTTTCAAATTTTATAGGCTAAAATCTGCCTTCCATTGAATTTGACTTCAGAGCATCATTTATTATTTCGTTTTTATCATGTGAGTTGTGAGACAGCTGCGACAAATTTGATCGCTACAAAAGATAAATCCAGTAGTTACAAAAAGCCAGTTGAATCTAGTACAGGTTATTCATGGATTCCAATACTTGGTACGGATGGAAAGTAAGCTGTTTTCATAATATATACTCCGATAAATTATATTCATGTATAAAGATTAGATTATTTTTGTTGAAGCAATTCAGCATTTCCATTGTCATTGAAAAAGTGTACAAGATTTACCTCGGTGTTTTTAGCCCATTTATACCTTCTCATCCCAACTCATTTGCATCTGATTGGTTAATTTCACACATTGTGATTGGTGGACTTTCGTTATGCCTGTTCTCATTCACTCGTGTTAATCTACGTCATTCTGATTGATTGTTTTTTAGCTGTTGACAATTCCGTTAGGAGTATGTATTTAAATAAATTTAAGCAAGACGTCCATCTGAACAAAATTAATTTTCTGTTTAACAATAGCTGATGAAGGTTATCTTTGACGAAAGAACTTCAAACCATTTTGTAATTAATTTCTTTTGACATTCAGCCTACATAAACAGATAAATCGAAATCACCTCTTAGTTTTAGTAATAGTCTACGAAAAGCTTTTCGCTTCCTTTTGAATTTACCACATAATTCTCGGTATATTCTGTTGTTCCTTTTGAGATTCCAGTTCGATATGCAGCTTCTGAGCAGTAAATAGACTATAATCACTTCAGTATTGCGAATTCAACGAAAAGAAAAGCCAAATTCATGTAGAAATTCATACGTTTTGAAAAACCTCATAAGCATATGCATAGCTTAGTAGGCCATTAAATTGACGTTCAGGCATTTTAATTGATAAGTTATAGATCACTATTTTATTGGAAATGTCAACATCCACTAGAATGTATCTTTATTTGGCTGATGGATTCCAGATTGTAAGAAGCATTTCCTCAGCTGACAGCTACTGAGTAATATTTTAAACTAATTCATTCTGTCTAAAGACAAGTAGTGGAAGAAGTCGTTAAGGTTCAGATGGAAAATGAAGAATCCACAGAAGGTGTTACACTCCTGGGCGAGGTGCTTGCATTATCGTTTAGTTGAACAATGAACATACGTGCATATCACCATCATTGCACTTATTTACCCTTTTAGTATCACCTATTTATGATATAAAATAGAGGAATAGCTAGCTAGCGCAGGATTATGAGCTACTAATGTGAACCCATTTCTAACTTTTAAAGTTTTACTATCCAGATAGAGGGGTGTTAACTAGCAAGCATTTTATGTACCCTACAGTTTGGAGTTGTGGCTTGTTGGTTTAGGGAGTTGACTTTCAACCAATTGGGCTACGGGTTCATGTACCACTCCACCTACCGAGGTTTGGGCAGCTAGATAGTATCATTAGCCCTCAACCAATGGGTATGGCTCACTGCCAACCACACAAATGTGAACATAGTTGGTGAGTGGAAAGCCTAGGAAACATACCTATGTCTAAGCATAGCTAATAATTTTATCATTATATTGCAAACTTCTATGGCTAAAATTTAACTAAGCAACTACTATTTGTCTGTTAAAAGAATTGCCGAAATCATTCGAGTTATGGTGAAGTGTGTGTATGTAAACAAGGCCATAGCATTATTGTTCAAGTGTCAATGGTCAGTCATATCTATATATTATGAACTGATCAATTTAAAATTGAATCATATATAATTTCAATTTGTTTATAGGAGCGTTCGTTTTCAGTGTTACCTTAAACGATAAAATGACACTTGATCAAAAAAATATCTAAAAGTGTTTAGACCAGTTCGGATTGGTATTTTAAATGAAGTTCCTAATAAGTGCTGACTAGCACGTTTTACATTTATTTACATTCAGCTGCTGTAGTTTCTTTTCTTTATCCACTGTATTTTTCTTCAAACTATTTTCCATGTACTCAAGGTAGCTTTAGAGGACTAGTGTACTTATGTACACACTGAAATCATTTTGTACTAAAAAGATTCGATGCTCTTTGTTATTATAACTGTTACTCTAGGACTAGTTTCTATCGAACCCCAGTGGCTTAGTGGATAACACTTTGGAGTTTGAAGCAATGAGTGCTAGGTTCATATCTCAGTGGGAGCAACATAACTCACTGGGGTGGAGGTACATCTAACTGATGAACCCTAAATAGGACGAAACATGTGTCCTAGATTCCATTGCTAACCACCAACGAGCAAAGTTGGACTAGTAAGTTGAAATGAGATTGTATACATTGCTAAACTTTGTTCTTTTCATGATGAGATTCTGCCATTGTGTAACCTAATGCAGCAGAAAGAACAGTGGTGGCAGAAAATATACGTATTCACCTCATGGTCTGTCGTCTGCTATGTTAAAGGTTATAAAACTGTTAGTGACTAATGCGGAAACTGGTCAGCCAGAAGTCGCCTCGTCTTGAGTATGACTAGTCGTGAGAATAACATTCAACCAATCATTTTTCTCCTTGTATAACAGCCACCTCTTTTGTTTAGTTTTAATGTTTACAATGTTAAGTACTTTTACGGTTTTCGTTTTGGAATATCCATTTAGCGCACTATAGGAAGTTTTCTATTATTATCTTGACCTGGGAAAAGACGATCAGTAAGTTGTTCATCGTTTATAGATGACAGCTGGTTTAGCCTATACTAGCCTAGCAATTGATGTTTATGATTGGAAAAGACAAAGTAATTGACTTACTTCTTATAAAGCTGGGTTGAGTGTGATCATTGGGAAAGGGTATAAAATAGGCGTGGAGCTATCAAACTTTGCCCAGGTGAATATAATTGTCAAGACTATTCTAAGATAAAATCATCGAACGAATCTTCTAGAGAAGATAAGATAAGAATTAACAGCGTCTATCGTGTAACGAAAAGTTAACAGATTTTCATTCTTAGGGAACAGAACTAGGAAGTGAGAGTAAGTTTTGAAGTAGGTGGGAGATGGGAAACAAAAATGCTTATTTATTTTCCATACTTCATCTTTTAGTCTTTTGATTGCCCAAATATTTGTAATTCGTAGAATTTAGGCTTCATCAGTCTATTTAGCAGTGTAAACAATCTTGATCTTTCAACATGGTATCGTTTAGTATGAAGTAAATCCCTGAAAATCGCGCACTTAAAACCTGTACGCCTTTGAGTCTCGTAGTATTTAAAATATCTTCAGAAATGGGAAAAGGAAATCTCTTTGTTTTTTGAATGTATACGATTCCATACGTAAATTTACATTTTCTCTGTATATTCTCTGATTGCTCCATAATGTCATCATCACCTTCAATCATGCTAGATATCTCCAGTCAGTCAATAGGAAGGCATAAATCTACTTTATTTTTCTCCAGAAATGCAGACATGATCGATTAGTCACGTTGAACACAGTTGCACTTGCTGACATTACCAAATGTCCTATTTTCTGAGTGACTTCAAAGGTCATTCTAGCAACTACTGGAATAACCAATCAGGTTTCGATATTTGAGGCGTAAGGGTAATTTTTCATACGATGAAGAAATGTAGTTGTTCATCTCATCAGTTGTGAAAGTGACCATTAAATTCACTCAATTTTTCTATTTATTTCAGCTCCATAGAGGTGGAGTCCAATTGTAACAACGGACTGCCGGATTGAATAGTTAAAGTTTAACTTCAACAAGATATCAGTTTTCTTAGAGTTTCAGATTTATTTTGGTGTTAAGTAACAGCCAACCTATAACATAATTAATACACGATTTGCTGTGGATTGATTCTTACCAATGAATTCTTTTGATTTTGTCTTCGTTGAAATGAACAGAATAAAAGAATCATTCATAGAAATAGTAGATTGAAGTCATCTGCCAGTAGTGTCAGGTTTTTGTTGATGTTGACTAAATTAATTCAAACTAGCAGGTCAAATTAAGTACCCATTGTGAAAGTCAGAAATGCCTAATACACCTTGACACCAATAATCAACATGAATTTGATATTTATTCTCCGTATATCCCTGTCAACATAGATTGGATGTTAACACTTATGTTGAGAAAATAAGATAAAAGCTTTCTTACTGTTTTTCGTTTGCATTTGTTAAGCCTAGTGATTATGAATCTTTTGCCTTTTTCAAACCCTAGATCTTCTTTATTGTTGAAACCTGTAATTCCCTTCTGCTATGCTTGGTCGAATTGATCAACCCTTCCTGGTAGATGGGCCACTATGCGGATGTGTAGGAGTATCGATGTATTCGTATAGGAACCCATCTACCAGCAGAGGTCGAACAATTTGACTTGGTATAAGAATGGGGGATTACAAGTATCATTAAATACCAACTGATGCCCGTTGTACAAGAAGTTGCTGTCGTATGTCACTGATCTACTGGATAATAATTTTGCTTTTGAAGTGATGCTTGCGAGGCTCGAATCATAGTGGTAAAGTCATCACTCATTGAGGTGCAAGTATTTCCAACTGACGAATTCGAAGCCATGTTGTTTTGTAAGCTGTATTATTTATGTTTCAATAAGGAGTATAATCGATGTCTGTATACATTTTGCCTTTTACTGTTTCCTATCAGTTTAAATGTTGGTACATTCCAACTACGTGTTGCGTCAACTATTCAACCGGGCTATTTAAAGCATTCAACTGTACAGGTAAGTTGTTTGCATACTTTTCTTGTACAATCCCTATACTAGGGATTATGACCTTTGTTTACTGCGCACAAGCTTTAATAGTTTCTTCTGGAAGTCTAAAACTCAATAAGGTGGGGTTCGAATATGTTGTAATTAGATAGATATGCAAACGAGTTTGAGATTTGATGGCTTGAGAAAATTTAGGCTTTGGATAAATGATATTCATTATTTTGGTGTTTGTATTTGCTTAGATCGTTTTATTCTTTGTCTGAACATCTTGTTTCTGTGACTATCGACTATCTCTCCACCTTCATCTAGTGAACTGTTTGACTTGTTGTTGCCCTTTTGTCTTATTTCAGTGTTTTGATTCAGTTCGAAAGTCTTCGAGCATACACCCTGCCTTCATTCTACAAAATGACCAAAACGATCACTATTATTATTAATAATACTAGTAATAATAATTATTATTATTGCGGGTAGACAAAATCGTCTTTTGCATACTGCCCGTTTAACATTTCCATATTCTTCACATATCATTACAATTATGCAACTGCTTTTATGTTTATGTTATTACTTTTAATTTCCCGTCGTTGATTGGACTGAATTGATCGGTCTTAGTGCAAATAACATCGCTTACTGGGAGGCAGGTAAATCCAGCTGACTTGTCTTAAATAGGCCGAAGTGCACGTCCTGGATTCCACTGCTAAACACCACCTATTAATTAAATATGGTTTTATACTTTTTTTTCAGTTACTTGTTGAGATAGCGTTTTTATTCATACTGTGTGATGTATTCCTTGGCAAGAAAGAATGGAGTGTTCTTTTTTGGTTATGTATATATTAGAAGGAGAGCCTTAATTACTACTCATGTTTTTATTACCCTAGGTGCATGACGAAGAAATGTGTACTGGTGGTCAGTTATACATACCCACTTTGGAAACAACTAATTTTGAATTTTTTTTGGATGACTTCTCATGTGAGAAATATTAACTTTTGACAACAAAACACCTTTTAAGCAGACTGGTGTTCTTTTCTCAGAGTCATCTTTGCCAACTTTTCCTTCCTGTTATGAGGAAGTTGTAGCGATAGTAATCATCAGATAATGATTTACTACAAATATGCGCCGTTCAAACTAACGCTATGATATTTTTATTATTGTTGCGTGTATTATACCGTCGTTGATTGGACTGAATTGATCGGTCTCAAACAACAATACTAAAATCCTGGTGGGAACAACAACACTCTGGGAGGTAGGCACATCCATCTGACGAGTCCCAAGTAGGACGAAGTCCGCATCCTGGATTCCACTGCTAGCCACTGTTCATCAATACTGTGATATTTGGATATAATTTTTTTGATGATGGTTAATAGCGGAAGCCGGAAGGTCCGTTCCGTCCTGCTATAAAGTCATCGGACGGCAGCACTTGCATCCCGATGATTGGTGGTGTTTTTAATGACGCTTGAACCGAGCATTCATAGCTTCGAATTCCAGCTGATATTATTCTCTAGCTCTTTAATTTTTAAAATAAACTACACATTTTGTCTAACCACTTTCTAATCAACCTTTGTTATCTGGTGAAGTGATTGAGAACTGATCCTAGTGACACAAATTCATTTGTGACTCGTCGTCATATCGAATTTTCTTCACCTTCTTCTACCCTATATTTGATGATATTTCTGGTTTTGACGTTGTATATTAGCCAATACCATTTAGCGAAACCAGTTGTTGATACAGACATGCACACATATCATACAGAAAAAGCCTCCACAAAAGCTTATGGTAAAAGATATGTGAATGAATACTTTATAACAAAATAGTAAATAAAATTATAGTAGATTATGGTTTCCATTTTCAGGAATTTTGAGGATGACTCTAAAAGCCACCTTAGCAACAATTAAAATGACCAATTAAACTTCTCTATTGATTGTTTAAGTTGTTGCCAGAGTGGACTTTAAAGTCACTCAATTTCGATAATTAAAGTTTTAAAATTCAACACAACCTTTTTTACCTTGGGTTCGTAGCACTCAAGAGATCAATGTTTTGTAGACTCTTGATGACCTACCTGAAAACATGGCACAGTGATGCAAATATTAACACTGTTTTTCATCTTAGTCTTTAAGGTTTCCATGAAGCTTCGTCTATCTCTATTTTGCGCATACACGCTTTTCTCCTTTATTCCTATCCTTTTTGTACATACTGCTGGTATGTGAGACAACGTGAACTGATTACAATTCCCGAACAGGTTCTACGTTGACTTGTCTGTATTCAATTTTCATGAAATATTTTAACTTTATGGTTTTCAATGCCATTCTTGACAGTATCACAGATTTCATCAGAACGCTGAATCACCCATATCCTTTCATCAATGACTTCTTCATATTGTGTTATAAAATGAAACGTTGACACTAGTGTCATTATTATATTATTATTTGTCCCTTGGGTTCCTAGTGGAACATAGGGCTTCAGTAGCACATCTCCAGTGCACTCTCTTCTCTGCAATCCTTTGAACCTGGCTCCACAACAGCCCACAAGCTCTCATTTCTTCCTCACACAATCTCCTCCATGTCACCCTCACCTGGGACGCCCAACTCGCCGTTTCCCATCTGCGTTCCACTCGACGGCCTGACCTGACCTGGCGCGTGATGTCCTCGAATGATCTTCTCAGTGCGTGCCCAATCCAATCCATCTTCACTTCCTTCCAATGCATATTTGTTGAGTGATAGGTTCTTGGTTGGTCCGTTGCCAGCCAGCCAGCCAGAATTCCTTGTTGCTTATTCTTATTATTCTGGCAATCCATCTGATCTTTAGTATCGAGTGAGCGTTGGCGGCAGGTGTTGGTGAATGTGTGTAGTTTGTTGGAAATCCCTTTCGTAACGCTCACAGTCTCTGAACCATTACATGGAAGCACTGACTTGACTGGGTTAGTGTTGAAAATCTGGATGTTGTTCACACTTCATGCTGAGTTCAGTGGAGTAGATCTCCACACTGGTTTCAAGTTAATGAACGCCTGTCTTGCTGTCTTTGCGATGCTGGTTGGCTTTGACGTCTTCGTCTGTGCCTGTGCCGCCAAGTGTAGTTGAAACAGTGCTGCCTAGACTGGGTAGGTGAAGGAGGCTACTTCCTTTAAGTTTCTGCTGCTGATGGTGATTGTAGCTTGGTGGTGGTGGTGGTGGCGGCGGCGTTGGTTGGGTATCTTCATCACCTCTGTCTTCTCTATATTCACTTGAAGTCCCGTCTTCCCTCGCTCCCTTGCCTTTTCTGTCAACTTGTTAGTTTTTGCCTGTAGATCTTCGAGTTTGTGTGACATTAGACACAAGTCATCAGCGTATCCCCCTCTTCTCGTTCTTCACTGTTTGTTGCATGATCCAGTCGACTACAATCAGGGTTATAGTAGACAGCCTTGTTTTACTCCTGTCTTCACTTCAGTGGCATCACTGAGCTTCCCATTGTGTTGTGAATTACTTGTCATATGGCGTCTTCATCTAGTTGTTGAATGAGATTGACAAAGGTTTGTGGTACTAAAACCATAGTATTGGAGGAGATGCGAGATTACTTGTCGGTCGACGCTGTGGAAGACGTTTTCGAAGTCGATGAAGTTGAGGTAGAGTGTTGACTACCATTGTATGCTTTGTTCTATGAGGATGCGTAGTGTAGCGTTGCAATTTGGTCTGCACATGATTTGTATTTCCTAAATCCAACTTGTTCTGATCGTAGTTTTGAATCCAGTGCATCCTTTAGACTAGTGTCATTACTGATTGAAAACCACTATGATCGCTTTTTCTCTTTATCTCTGACCTTGTTTTCATGTGGATCCTTTTGACTAATTATGAAATTCAGGATGCGCTTTTCTTTCAGTTTGGAACTCATCAGCTGGATGATGTTCCCGTTGCTCAAGAGATGGCTCTCGTACCCTAGTAGCCTATTGAATAGGGCTTTGGCATCTGAAGCACTGGGTACTGGGTTCGAGTCTTGGTGGGAAAAACACCGTGCACTAGAGTGTAGGCACATCCGGATGGCAAGTCTCAAATGTGATGAAACACGCGTCGTGGATTCCACTGCTAGTTACCAAGGTTAATACAACATTATAAATGGCCAGCAGAGTCAAGGCATCCATATAGGAGCCCATCTGCTAACGGACGTCGACTGATTTGACTTTGTATAGCAACGGAAAATTACAAGTATCAAACAGCAGTTGATAAGTTTTCAATTTTTCTGTTAATAATTCTTTTGCCGTCCGTCCATAATCTCTGTATCTTTCGAAGTCATTTTCATGTCTATAGTTGTTGATATTTAACGATATAATACAGTGTATGTTTTGAAATAATCTATGAAACCAACTGACATACATCCGGAACGATTCACTCATTTTACTTTTTATAGCTTTTTGTTATTAGTCGTGTTATGTAGCACGATAGTAAAGGGTTTGTGATCATAATATTACCTTCGTAGCATCATTCTGAGCTAGAAATTTGGGTTATTATCCTCCAATTACGGTACATACTTTTGTTATCTTCAGTGGTTTAACATTTTAATTTCGTTTCAGTCAGGAACCATATTGTATCTCGTATTACCGTGGAGTGGTCCAAATTGTCTTACCTTTCACTAGGAATCCAAGGTGTAAGGTAAAAGGCGATGATAAGGAAATAATATCATCAACAGTTATAATAAAAAAACTGTCAACCAAAAGTGACAAGGATTAGAGTGAATAAAAAAATGAGGTATAACATTTAAGATGAAAACTAGACATGAACATATGCTTACCAATGACATCGATTTCGAGCTACATTCTCTAGATTCTTCAATCATCGATTTTATTTGTCTCACAGCTTCCAGTCTAAAAGTCTACATTTCTCTCCACTGTCCAGATTTAACAGTCAGAGACTTTATTCTTTGGTTCTGTGTCCTTGGTTTAATCATTCTTAGTTCTCATCAGTGATAAAACGTAGAAAAACATGAGTGTTTCAGGAAGTTAAGCATTGAATCACAGATTCACTCACTTAAAAAAAGTGATGGAAAGATGT